GGTCTCTTCCCTCTGCCTGCTAAATGCATGTGCATTCAGCCCATGGAGAGGATTGTGATTTAAGTGACAAAGTACTGATGTTGTATAGTACAGTGCTCCTGTGCTCAAGCATTTTCCTTCCTGAGGAAAGCAGGCAGCATTAGGCACTGGCTGCACGGTGTAAAACTGGACATGAAGAGCTGTAAAAACACATGCTGTAAAGCTATAGGAGTTGTTCTGGACTCAGTGTATTGCTGGAACAGTAGAACCTTACAAAAACTACAGGGAAAAAGTGAGGCAAAGTAGACTGACTCCCTAATGAATAGGGTAATGTTAAATTTGGGGATTATCATTCTGATGTCCTGTACAAAATATGTTTGGTATCAAAATTGGTAATGTGGAGAGCTAGAAATCTTTTTCAATTATATATGCATATTTCATATATATGAAATTCTACAGTTTTGGAAGGCAAATTATTGTTTATTTACAGGGAAGATAACTTCTTTGCACTGTAATGAAATGCAGTAAACTTCAACACAAATACTACTCATAGTGTTTGAAGAAGGATCAAGTATATGTGGAAAAAACCTACTGGAAAAAAACAAATTAATTTGGAAGACTTCATGCAGAAAAAGCATATAGAAGCTTTTGAACTAGTATCCAAAGCACAGGGTTTATCTGCATAGAAGGTAATTGGATACTACAGTGCCTGACAACTTGGATGACTTTCTTACCCTTTCAAGAAGGTTTACTAAGGGAGAGCTGGAGTATAAGAGTGATTTAGCTGATTAAATTGGTGTATTTCCTTGATACCTTATAGTTTTCTTATTAGCATGGGAGTCATAGAGATTTTTACGTGCCACATGACGGAGATAATATTTACTTAATAAATTTTACTTTTAAATATACCACAGAATTGCATAGCCCAGAGGAAAAGTAGTGACATTGAAAGTCTCATAGGAAATTTGGACTTGGATTCTTTCCTTCTGTTCCATTTTGTAAGAGGTATACATGTTACATCAGCAGCACAAAGGCAGAGTGTGATCCTGCTTGACATTAACTGCAAATCAAGTGTTTTTTACACAAGTTGTGGTGTGATTTAGTGGCTTGGGATAGTGTGGGATTTGTGGTCAACTTTCTCAGCCTCAGTGAGAGTGAAATACCTAGAAAAGAGGAAGGGTAGACTTGTGGTTTAAGTGTGAAATTGAAAAACAGGAGATCTGTTCCTGATTTGATGACAGATTATTTGATTTGTGGAAAAGTAATTTTTTGTTCCTTAATTTCTGCTTATGGAAATGGGAGTGCTATTGACTGATTCTGCTGAAAAGAGGACTTGATTTATTAACATTCATTATGTGCCTTAAGGGAAGGAGGAAGTCAATATTAGGAAAGTGGCCTTGATACTTTCCTCAAAGAAAAGTTACTTGGCAGGAGAATATCCTGAAAGCAGTATCTTCTATTGGTGTGTTTATGTCCAATTCACAGGTATGTGTAACAAAGAAGATACATTTTAAAGTTCTTTCTGTGTGATTTTTGTCATATCTACCATATTCTATCATCTACCATATTTACAATATCTGTCGGCCTAAAATATCTGCCACTTGTGTCTTTATAGCTCTTTTTAAAAAAAAATATTGCCTGTCCAGATCATGCCAGGCAGTATTCTGGAAAATGTTTCTGTTCTGTTGGCTTTCCCCCTCAGGAATGGCTATAGCAACAAAGAACATACAAAAACCCAGAGTTCATCCTGCAGCAGAGGTTTGGAACAGAGTCTGCTGGGCACAGCCTACCAGAGGTGAAGTCAAAGTAGTACTGTTAGAGAGGGGCAGGTCCCCCACACACAAGGAAGGTTCATTTCACTTGACAAAAGTGCAAATAAGTTTGTCTTCCATGGAACTGGGTTTCCTATTGTTTATATGTGTTTTTAGTTGATGTTCCTTGTTTTACCAGTTACATGCATGGCTAATGACAGTGATTCTTGATCCTTTAATGGAGTATACACTGCAAATATACTCTGCACTGTGCTGTTGTGGATTTTTGAAACATCACCACTGCACTAAGCAGTGCATTGAACATGTTCCCCCGTGTGTAGTTAAACTGCAGTGTGCCAGACGTCACTCTGTCACACTCGCCATCCCAGAAGCAGCAGCTGCCCTCACCACCTTTACCCTCCCTGCAGCAGAATTAGCAAGCCCCTCTCTCAAGGCATTTCTTCCCTCTGCTGCCTTATCACCAGGATTCATATTTGTGTGCAGTCAGATGTGTCTTCATCACTTAGGGTGCAGAATACAGCAGTAGAATATGTACCTGGGACTCGATTCCCTCAGAACAGATAATTCAGAAGCTAATGGGCTTGCTAATGGTATGGTCAGCTGCAAGTATTTTCAACTCTTCCTCTGCTCCCAACACAGTGTATCTGATCAAGTTTAGGGTCTCAATTTGCATAGAATTGTCTCAATCTGAGCTCAATACACCCATGAGACTAGAAGTCTGAGATGAAGATCATGACTGACAGTATGGCTATTTTTGCACAAGACATATAAAGATAGTTATGGAGGAATTGAGAAGAGTTAAAACAGGAAGGATCACTATGCTTGCATAAGATGAACAATTTTTCAGGCAAAATTCACCTTCCTATGAGTTTTGACTTTTTTATACACAAGGATAGCAGCATTGCTGTTCAAAATACTATCTTCCTCTGTGTTTCTGCTTCATTGTTGCTAATTTGCAGCTAAAAACCTGACTATCATACTATGCTTAACCAAGTGTCTTACTGGTAACTTTAAAGAAACTTGCTTGGACACTTGTTCTAGTCAATCATCTGAGTGCTTGATGCACAGCTGCTGGACTTCTATTGTTAGTTAAATCTTGCTGGACATCAGGTCAGCCCACCCAATGGCATCAGCATTTTGCCAGACTTTCTACTGCCTCACTAAACATACAAAAGTGATTTTTATTGTCATACTGCCAACAACTTCTCCATCTACATGTTCTATATAGTATCTTGAGGCATACCCACACAACTTAATACACCTTTAACTCATCAAGAGATCTGGCTCTTTGACAGCTCACTCAGTAATCCTTCTACTGTCATGGATATGAGAAACTGCCTTGTTAAGAGAGCTCCACTAGTCATGATGAACCACTGCCAAAACAAATGAATTCATAAGTGAGTGGATGGTCAGTTCCACTGATGGGTATGGAAGTCTAATATGTGATCTTTCAGTGACTGGCTAACTGTTTTTTGGGTTGATGTTCCAAAACAAATTGTAAAGGCAGCAGAAGTCAACCAAGAGCAGACAATCTTAATTAGACTAGGCACCATGTCTGACCAGCACACTAGTATTAACATACAAGAGAGCCAAACAGGCTGCTGAGGAAGTCTTAAATACTCAGTGCAGTCTGGAGAGATTAAATGATCTTACTGCCATTTGTGAGTGAACATGCTTTAAAGGAATAGTGTGTGCTCTAAAGTTCCTGTGTACATTAAGTACCATTATGCAGCATTGCATTAAAGGAATTGATTTTATGACATGTCCCTTTGGACATGAGAGGAAAAGTGTCAGGTTGCCCTAGACCTTAATTTGGAGTGATGTTCAAATGTTGGTTTTGGCACTTGTCCTGGACTTGGAACTGGTGTAATTTGTGTACACTTTTTTTTTCCCTACAAGTTGGAAAGGCACATGCAGATGCTGTTGCCAGAAAGAAATCCTTGTGTTTATCACAAATAGGTTATATCCCCTTTTGTCCATTAAATCTTGACAGTGATTTCACTATGCATGGTCTGTTATACCACATCACAGATCCAAGTGAAACAAAACAATTATCAATCAGTCAAGAGCTGGCAATCAGGTCTATATTTCAGCAAGGATCTAACACAAGCCAGATGCTTTTCTGTCTTTCCCAAACAGCAACATGTCACTGCATTCACTGCCTGGCTGTCAGCTTCTCATGTCAATGGAGGGAACAAGGCTTGGTCCTCAGTGCAGTTTTTATATCTGAGTCCTCTAGGGGAGCTTGCATGTTATCTGAGCACAGGTACAAGCACCTTGCAGAATCATCCCCTTGCAGCTTTTACAGTTCCTTTTTCTCTGTGTCTGAAAAGTTCTGAGCTGATGCTGTGGACAGGAAGTTTATCATGGGGATTGTACTGTCATTAAAAGATAAAAAAAAGAGGGGAAGGAGCATTGGAGGGGATCTTCTGCTCAAATGTGAGCTGAAAGTGCTAAAATCATTCTGAGGAAAGGTGTAATTTTTGTAATTTACTAGCACAATCTATATCTTGTGCAAGAAATGGCCACCTTTGTGCAGTATAACTTGAATTGTCTGTGAAGTGTTTTGAGGGTGGAAAATGCTCAACACAGAACTACCAGCTGAAATCTGAAACTTTAAGTTGTGGTTGGCATCCAACTGCTTTCTGAAGGGTTTGGCTTTGTGTTATAGCACAATCCAGAGAAAATCCTTGTTTTCTGCTTCTAAGCTACAGCCAGACTCTTGTAGGAACAGCTGACGAGCTTTAGCCTTGATGTAGGCACAATTTAAACAAATGCTGCAACCCAGTCCCAGGGCTTGACCCCATCCGTCTGTAATCAGAGAGATCTCAGAACAGCTCTGACCCTAAACTGGTGACAGGCTGCTATTAGAAGTGTCCTTTGGTAAGTCCCAAAGCCGTAGTTCATAGAAACCAAACAAAAATAAGGGCTGTATTTTAACATGATAGTGATGCGTATAGATGCAGTCTTTGCTGTCAGTAGCAGTGCAAGCACATTACATGATGTGTGGTTAGTGTTCAAACTTGTCACTTGTTCTTCTGGACAAGGGCTGGACACCTGATGTCACACATGCCAACACCTGAGAGCTATTAATAGGAGTGTTTGAGACAGAGAAAACCACACACACCTGGTAAGTGTTTAAAAAAAGCTTTATTGTTGGGGTTTCGTTGGTAAAAGAAGGCCAAATCATAACGCTCTTGGCTTCAGACAGGAGCTTTGCAGAGAGGAGGGCGTAACCATCCTCCTTCAGGAAGTTCGAGATACAAAGCTCATGACAAGGAAGCCCACCCTTCCCAGCGCCCCCGGACCGCGGTCGGTGCCTGGCTGTCGGCAGCAGCTGGGGCTCCTCGCGGCTCTGTGCCGCCCCAGGTGTCCCACGCTCGCCAGGTGCCGCTGGCAGGGGGAGGCGGCCCGGGCGGGCCGCGGGCGCCTCTGCCGGGGCCGGGCGGCGCTGCCGCTCCCCGCGCCGCGCCTCCTCCGCCTGCCAGGCGGGCGGGCAGGCACCGGGAGAGGGAGAAGGAGAGGGAAAGGGGAAGGGAGGGCGCCGAGCTCGCCGCCGCCGCGGAGCAGTGGCAGCGCGGCCGGCCTGGGCGGCAGCCGGACCCGCGGCAGCGGCAGCGCCTCTGCCCGCCCGGGGCCGCCTCGGCGGCCAGCGGAGCCCCCGCCGGCCATGGAGCTCTCCCTGCGGCTGCTCCTGGCGTCCTGCCTCTCGCTGGGGGCGGCCGGGGAATTTGACAGAAGGTAGGCACGGGGAGAGCGGGGGCGGCGGCCGGGCAGGGCGAAGGCGGCGTTCGTTCTCCCCCCGGGGACAGTGGGGCTAGCCCCGGCTCTCCCCTTCTTGACGCGGGGCGCTGCGGTGGCACCGGAGCCGGGGCTGGCTCCCGGCGAGGCGGGGGCGGCCGGAGCGCTGGGCGGGACGCGTGTGGCGCTGCCGATGCCTGCGCGGGGCCGCAGGTGGAGCCGCGGGGCCGCCGGTGCCGCTCCCGGCGCGGAGCCGCGGCCCCGAGCCTGCCGGCCCTGCCCCGCCGCTCGGCAGCCTGAACGCGGGCTTAGGTAAAAGAAAAGTTTATTGCTCTGGCGGGGCTGCGTCCCGCAAGAATTAAAAACAAAGCGCATCGCGTGCTGTAGAGATAAAATTAGCTTATTGACGCCCGGAGGCACCCCCGGCGCAGGGCGGCGGAGATCGCGGCTCAAGTTCCAACACGAAGCTCGCGGCGCGTGTGCCCGCGGGCCGTGTCGCCTCCTGTCGCCTCCTGTCGTGTCAGGTGTCGCGACCGGCGGCGCTGCCGGGAGCGGGCACTGCGCCCTGAGGGGCAAGCGGCCAGCGCGACCCCCGCCCTCCCCACGGACTCTTTCTTTTTTTTTTTTTTTTTTTTTTTTTTTTTTTTTTTTTTTAATAGCATCTGTTCAAATGCAGCGCTCACGACGTTTCAGCCTATCCTTTAAAGATATTACTGACTCGTGTCAATAGTTTATAACTGCGTGAGGCCGTGGTATCTTTTCCTTGGAACAAAGAAAGACTACAGCTTTCCTTTTACATTTAATTTCTATTTAACTGTCCAAGAAGCTTTTTTTTAGTTTTTTTTTTTCTTTTAATATTTCAGTGAGAAAATTTTGCTGTATATTGTGAACAAAAGCAATGCCTAAACTTTGTGATGGCATTTATTCCATGGTATAGATTCTGTTTCAGACTTCTGAACTTCTGTTCAGTGCCAGCCTGGGAGGGGCAGCAGTGAGAGTACTGCAAAGCATGTCAGCTTTTTGAGGCTTTGCTCAGCTGTCCTAACTATCATCTCCCCTCTTCACTTATTGTCATTTGCATTTTTTGAACTAAGTAAAGTATTAATGCTAGAAATATCCCAGGCTTAGCTGAGAGCAGTTTGTCTCTTCAAAAAAAAGTAGGAAAAAAATGTATCTCTATGCAGGAGAGGTTTTTGCTGTTCTTTGTTTTTTGGAGTTTTTAGGTTGTTTGGTAGATTTTTTTTTTATTTTTTTTTTTACTCTACGATGATTTTAGCTACTTTTAAAATGTTTCACCAGACTTTGTTGAACTGTCTTCTACAGGTGGCCCAGACAAATGGTCTCGTCGGCAGGACTGTGTCGCTTTGGAAGCAGAATTGACTGCTGCTGGGGCTGGGCCCGAGTGGCCTGGGGACAGTGCCAACGTGAGTACCACTGCTGCTGGGGCTTCTAGTCACTTGTAGAGAAGGCTTGTACACACCTAGTCATGTCTTTCACGTGTCCACACACATCCTGACAGTGCAGGGCTAGGCTTTTGCACGTGTGCGCCTGACTTAGAAGGATGCTGTCATGTTCAAGTTCTGTCTGTTTTTAACAGTGCTAAAATGATTGCAGTCAAGTAAGGTAAAATGGAGCTAGGGTAGTGAGAATTTGGAAATTTCTTCTTGATTTCTGCTTTGTTTTGTGCTCTGATCTTATACCCTGGTGTAACTACACTGTGTCATGTTACAGGCACTGCAGGGTGATAATATTTGTATCCAAGAGGAAACCAAAATTACTGACATTTCACTTAGAACATCGATGGAAATGTTCCAATTAAGTACTAAGCTCAAGTATTCTTTCAGTAAACCTAAACTAAGGGACTAAATCTGCCTGACAGCATCCTTTTACTGGGTCACACGTGAAGAGAAACATCTCTGAGATTCTCAAATCTATCTAGACTCTGATATGACTGCAGGATAAAGTAGTAGATAAGTCTTCATCATTAACTACATCTTCAGTAGGAATTCTGTGGAGGCAGCTAGTACTGTGTAACAACTAAAATTGTTAGGAGTCACGTAGAGACCTCAGCTTGTTAAAATTATGACCTTTGATACTGGGGATGCTTACTCATGTGTTTAATGCTCATACATGAGGGACATCCTGAAGTTTTTGCAGGAGCAAGCCTATAAATGCTGGTCCTTAGCTTTTTTTAATTTTATTTTTTTATTTAGACAGAAGCATATGTGGATGAGATAGTTTTCTGTCAAGCCATTTTCCGAATAAAACAGGTGTTAAATACTGTAAGTTTCTAGTCTGCAGGGCAAATATTTGGCAAAAGATAGGAAAAGAATTGGAAATGCAACTCTCAGCAAAGGTTTTGTTCAAATCTGTAAGCAGCAAGACTGGTTTCTCTCTTCCCAAGTATATTAGAAGCCCATAAGGTTTAATAGATTCATAAGATGACTAATAAAAACCTATGGAAAGTACTTCTGGAATGCAACATCCCTGATACTGTTTCTTTAATGCAGAGTTCTCAGGTTGATACCTCTCAGACCATACCATGAACAATTTTGATTTTTAGGGCTCTAGTTGGTAACAAGTAGTCCTTTCCTTGGCATGAATATTTATGAAGAAAGAAAGAAGAGTATTTAGTAGGTTGATTGAGGCTGCTCCAGAGGCAATAGGACCTATGGTCCAGGAGTCTAGGAATAGGTCCACCTTTCATGATGCAGTTTTATTTGAAAATCATTGTGCGTTTGAATGTTTGAGGCTATGAAGGCTTAACTGGCAAATATCAATAATTTGCTTTGTTTAAAAAAACAAACAAAAACCAAAACCCAAAAGAGCCCAGACTACTGTGTCACTTTTCTTAGACAAGTTGTCTTCCATCTTGTGACCATAAATTACAGCTCATGTTTAGGTGAAAGTCAATTTCTCATTATTACCAAATTTGATTTGTTTTTGCATTTTTATGATATTGGGAGACAGAAGTTGCATAAATTTATACTATCAAAAGATTCATAATTAAAAATTGGAAATGAGACAAAAGTAATAATACACGGAAAGTATAATTTATTTGTTGTTCTTTGGATTCTGTTAGTAAGTTAATTTTTAGTGCTAGCTTTTCCAGAGACTAGAAATGCTTTTTTCTTTTCCTTTAGGCTAAAGGTAGGTGAATTCTCACCTCCTTCCACTGCATTTTAGTCCATTATCCACAAATTTGTGTCCATGCACATTTAGAAGACATGTAGGTAGGTGTTTTCTGGGATCATCTCCAGTAATTTGGACCAGACTTTCAAAAGAATACAGTTATCACTTAGGTGTCAAAAAGCATTCCCCCCCTCCCCCCGCCCTTCCTTTTTTTTTCTTTACATACTGATAATATTTTAATTGCTGGGTCAGAAGAGTCTCAGATGTTTAGGTGAAAATTTTACTAAAACCATCAGCAGCTCCTTCTCTGTTCTAAATAGGAGACAAACTATTGGCAAAATAAAGCAAGAAAACCCATGTCAGTTGCAGGTGGTGAAAATTCCAGGCATATCACAAAGCAGGAGATTACACTAAATGAAAGTGAATCTCTCTAGTGCTTGCAGCCAAATAGAAAATCTCTAGTCAACTCTTCTCCTTGGGAATGTGGCACCCAGTATGTAGGATTAACCTGGCACAGAAGGCAACATTCCTGGCCTCACAGGAAAACTTGGGTATTTTACTGTGCAAAGGAATATCAGTGAAAATTTTCCAAAAAGCCAAGATTATTTCTTCTACTTTCTCTCTGCTCAAAGGTGAAGCTCTTAGCCCTGTCCCCAAAATGAGTGGCATAAAGAGGTGTCAGACTTTCTCTACTAGATGTACATTTTCTTTGGTGTTTTAGCGTAAGTTCTGTTTGCACAAGGAAAACAAGTATAGAATCAGGCTTAAAAATTAGTAATGAGACCCAATTAAAAAATGTGTCCAAAAAAGAAGCTCCAAATATTTAGGCAATAATGCTGAGCTCTTTATTAGTGAGTTGGAACTGCTCTTTTTCAAACCAGCTTGAGCCATCTTTGGTATGCCTGCAACTGCTACAGCACCTTTGGACTCTCACGGGCTTACTCATGCATAATTTACCACACAGGCACTAATTATCTCTAAATTTATCCTTCTGACAACAAATGTAAGGTGAGAGCCATGCTGGAGCCAGAGTGGAGCAGACACACAGATACATGGTATGTGGTCCCAGTTTGCAGAGACCTCTGAACTGTGATGAGCCAAGGGCATGTGGTCACTGATATACCTGGATGTGTTTTCTGCTGTCCAGCTGAGCTGCTCCACCAAGCACGTGTGGGCATGCTCTCTGCCCACAGCTATTGAGAAAAAAAATGTGTTTATTTAAACCAGCAGTGTGATTTAAGGTAGTGGTTTAATTGTGACAAATGCTTAAGCCATTTAGCTGGATATGTCAGCTCTAGCGGAGCAGGAGTGTGGTGCAGCTGATGAGCCTCATTAAGGCCTTAAGCCTTGGTGGCTCCGTGCTCCTGATCTTCCATCCATAATCCATCCAGAGAGTTGCAAATGGAAACTGAACTGTGTTAGCTAGACTTGGTTTTGTGAAGTGTGAAGTTATTCCTTTTATGTCTCTTTGACTGGCAAAGGAGTGCACGTGGAGCATAATCATGCTTAGTGCTGCTTAGCAACGCCACTCAGCATAACTCAGCTGTCTTCTGTTCTTATAAACATGTAGGAAGACATTGAAATAGGGCCCTCTTTTAATTTACACTTCTTTCTTTACAACATCCTCTGTCTACACCAGTCAGGACTTGTGCACGTAGGTCTGATCCGTGTGTAAGCTTCCTTCCAGAGCCTGTCAGTGTCAGCTGTAACATCTCAGCCAGTAGAAATATTCACTCTACAGTGACAAGAAATTCCCTTCCCAAATGCCTTTTCAAATTCCAGTAAATGTGCTTAGAAGTTGTCCTTCAAACTGGAAGAACTTTAAAACAGGTTGGATTTTTTGTTTCTTTCTTGGAGGTTTTGAACACCCAAGTGAGATCTGTGCTTAGGCAGCTAAATGCATTTTGAGACTGATAAAAATATAGGCATGTTTTCAAAGGGTCTGAACAAATGTAACTCAAACTCATTGGTATTTCTTTGACCTTGTAAATTGAAAATCCATCCATGCTTGTTTTGTGGCTTAGATTTAGAGCTGTGTAGGTCTTCCATCACTAACATAACTAAGTAGCTTTTCTCAGATTTTGATTTACTATGTAAAAGATTAATTAATTCAACCTGGTGTGTAGAAAGGCTAATTTGGGAGCAACAGAAATTATGTTTAAACACCATCAATTAGCTCCCTTAAAGTACCCTTATCATTGATAGGGTTGAATTTTTACACTGAGGAGCTCACTGCATCAATGCTCTAAAGTTAGATATTAAATATCCCACTTGAAATTAGTCCAAAAATCCCATGTTGTTGCCCAGCCTGTGGAATTGACTTGCACTTTAATTAGTAGGAGTGGGAATAATAGCTGTAAGTGGGAATAATCACACGAAAGCCTACCTCTCTGAAAGATGGTATGTTGATAAAGTACCTGATGAAATAGGTGTAAAAATAGCGTTGTTGTTGTCTTGCTTTATGTCTTACTGTTGTGCACGCAGCTGAGTTATAACCCAGAGTAAAAGTGAGGGTAGAAGGAGTTGCTTCTGTATTTCTTTTCTGCAGAGCAGGGGAGGTGACTTCCTGTGACACAATATTTTTGGTGAAAGCAGGTATCAATAGTGCATTTTTAATTCATAAATGCTTTTCCTTTGTAAGGCAACAGCAGCCCTGGTACTGAATGTGTTGTCCTAATGCAGAGCCCATTCAAGGGGTTTTAAAGGACACAGGGAAAACCAAGTCAGGACACATGTCCTTGCACACATATTGCACAAATGCAAAAAATAATTCCTTGTGGGTATTTTTGCCACTCATCTGTCTAGGTTCCCTCAAAACTGTTCTTAAAACTAATGGTTTGTCTGCCTCTTTTTTTAGCTGGCTTACAAATATCTCTGTAGTTCTTTCAAAAGCTATGGAAATGGTTTCTGCCTCTGTGTGTGTCTTTCATGAACAAAATACACCTGCTTTGAACCTGGCTGTGTGTCTGTTTGTAATTGATTTGTACACCAGTTATGTGTAGTCAAGAACCACTACACATGTGAAGATTGTTTCAAAATTTTAGCTGCAGTTCAACAGCAAAAAACTGTGGAGAGAGATAGTATTTTAATAGTTCAGCAGGATTTTTAAAAGAAAAGCAATAGGAAGTGGCTTGAATTCTCATTCTGCATTACAGTTTGGACAACTCCTTTGCTGGAGGTGATGGCAAAAATGGTTCTTTTTGCTGTGTTTGCATAGATACAGAAGAGAAGACCAGGTCTGCAGCTTCTATAAAAAAATGCAGATCTACTGTCAGACCCTCTGCTGACTGGAGTCTATGTGACTGTTGGAGTCAGCAGATTTTGTCTGACGGATAGAAAGTTTGACCAACAGAAGATGCTTAACAGGAATAACATTTAACTGAACATAGGTTTGATAAGCAGTGATATTTGATGACTTCACCCATTGCTGTGTGTGATTCTCCTCAGGCAGTAAGAAAATCCATGCAGTCTGTCTCAGAAGGGGTGGTGAAGATGGGTGTGCTCTTTCAGAGAGCCCATTGGTTGTAACTCCATCTGCTTATCTCCCCGTGCTGAGGTTTGAGTGTTTTACCTGGAAAGCAAACCCAGAGTAGGTCAATAAAGTAGTTTTCCACCACAAATGGCTTAAATGCCTAGAGACAGGACAGTCAAGGATGTATAAAGTCAAGCCATCAGTTTACACCTCCCCTCAGCTTAGCATCATTAAAAAAGTGTTAATTGAAGTACGTCAGGCTGGCATTTAGATTTGGCCAAACCTGGTAGAAAGCATATGATTTCAGGGAGTTCTAAAGAGGACTTGCAAGAGAGAGGAGCTTGTATGAGTTGATGTCTAGCAGATACAGGCATAACTGAGTGCTTTGCTGGGAACTGTGCATGCTGCTGCCTTCTCACAACCCTTGGGAAGGATCTTGCAGTGTCTGTGCTGCTGCTGCTGCTGTCCTAAGGAGCTCAGAAGCTGTGTACCTGTTCTGTGCAGTCTCTTTCAGGGGTGTGAGGTGGTGGGAGCGGGGGAAGCAGTGGCTGTGCTCTCATTGATGCTTAGAAGGAGATTTTGTATTGGTAAAAATTAATTTCATGGGAGTTTACCCATATAAATCATCCAACGCATCAATGGGAGAAGAGGCCACGGGCAGCTTAGCATTTCTGTTTCCTGCATGTTACATTGCTTTCAGTGGAAATGGCAATTCTGTATAGTCCAAGATGCACAAAAATAAAACCATGATTGTATCAATAATGACCTGTGAAAATACTGGTTCCTAGGAGGCTGATCCACTAGCAGAAACATCCCTAAAGTCAATAAGAGTTTTGCTACTGAATTTGGGGTTGTAAGATCACAGTCTGAATTAATGCATTGTATTAGCAGTGTTTAAGAAATACTGATATGGAGCATGTCTGCTTCTTATAAAATGACTGATATTTTTGTGCATCCCTGGTACTTTTCAAAGAAAAGGCATTTTATACAGAATTGCAATACTGCTTTACACTGCTATTCAAGAATAAAAATGAGGTTTTGCTATTTTTATTCAATTTTTTTCCCAGTTTAGAACCTTTATGCCTTTAAAGTATGACTTGACTGTGTTAAAGATACAGTATCCTTTTCCATTTCCCTAGTGCATTCCTCATGCACTTCATATGCAGATTAATAGTTTTGCAGCCTGGTTTTTTCTAAGGAAATGTCATCAGTAATCAATTTGACCAATTGCAACTGTAGTATATTTGTAATTACATTTTCTCTGAAAGCCCAGCAACAACCTGAGGAGCTTTCTTTCGCAGTAACCAAGGCTAAGGGACTTCCTAGTTAAAACTGATTTAAACTAGTACAAGTTGCAGTCATAGAAAACCCTTAAGTGTTGGTCACACACTACTTAAAATACCAAGGGCTGCTGTTGCTCAAGTCCCAATCTGCTATCACGAGGCTGTGTAGCCTAACAAGCCATGCTGCTAATATTAAATTTATTGGCAAATAAATTGATTTCAAATAGCTTGAAACATATATCTGTGTTTTCATCTTATTTAAATTTTGTAGCATATCTTGTTTCATGTGGTAGCAAGAACTGAAAAGGTTTCTTTTAAAGTATTACTTTTAATTTAGATGACATTACATTTTTAGACATTATAAAAATGACCAGTAAATTTGTGTGCCAACATGTTTATTGGTTGCAGATGTTCAGATACATATAAAAGGGTGTAATTTTAATTGCTCTCAAATTAGCATCCAGATGCTAGGCCTTTGTGTTTGAGCTGTGGAGACACTGCGCTAAATTAAAAGTACATACTCATACTTAAATGAAAGGATACTATGTCTTTAAGAAAAGCATTTGTGCTCTGTTGATGGAAATGTTGAACCTGAACCATGAAACACGAGAACTTTTACAACTACTTAATATATGAAGCTTGACAAAGTGTAGTTCCTTAGCTGATTGAATAAGAATAGCATCACATCATTATATTTAATTACTCTTATGTATCGAATGTGTTTGTTAAATCTCATAATGAAATACTTATATAAGGTATTTCCATTTTTAAATGTGTACCAGAATTTTTTTTTATTTCAGAAAAGCTCTGAATCTTGAATGTATGTAATTCTCCAGGAATGTAACAAGTTGATAAAAACCACAGCCAAGTCCATCCTCTTTACAGAGAAAAAAAAACCCAAAAAAAAGCTGGATTTTCTCTTTTGGATATTTGTCTTGCAGCATTCTACGTCTTAAGGCAGAGAATAGCCAGCCTAAGGTGCCAGCCCAAAGGTTAGCTGAACATATTTCTTGAAATACTTTTGGCAAGTTTATGACTTGGAGTTATGGCCTTGAAGTCATAAGTTTACATGAAAATTTTAATATGTGACAAGAAGGTAACTTTTTGTTGTTGTTCATTTTTTTAAGCATTTGATTTGGGGAAGATGAGGGGGGAAAGAAATTAACAGGGCTATTTTATCCCAGACGCCTATACAATGATACACTTATTTTTCTAAAATACGACATTTTTTCCCTTCTTTTCTTTATTTTACCCTCAAGCCCTGTGCAGTATTTTTATGTTTCTGCAAATTGTTTGTACTACCAGCAATGCATTTACAAGCTGTCAGACCTAGGAGGCCTAATTTGCTTTCATGGCAGTGAATCGTGTGCAGTGAGAGGTTATTTTGGGATGGCTGAGGCATTTATTGCCCCCCACTGCCTGCTTTGCACTTCCACTACAGGTTCTCCTTCCCAGAACAGGGAAAATTTACAGCCCTTGGTCTCCAGCAGTGTAGATCCTGGCACGTTAGAGCAAAATGAAACCAACACAGTTTACTTTGGTACCCAGGGCTGTAGTCTGCTGCTGCTTAGGAATTGATGTGTCTTGTTTGTTCCTGGCTCACTGGGGAGGTTGGGAAATACAGGGTGGATATTAGGAGAAAGTTTTTACAGAAAGAGTGATAAAAGTACTGGAATGCCTGCCTGGGTGGTGGAGCCACCGTCCCTGGATGTGCTTAAAAAAAAGACTGGATGTGGCACTTGGTGCCATGGTTTAGTTGAGGTTTTAGGGCATGGGTTGGACTCGATTATCTTGAAGGTCTCTTCCAACCTAGAGATTCTGTGAGTCTGTGTGATTCTGTGATTCTTTTTGCACTCCCTGTGGCAGAGTGATGAGTCTCAGACAGGGAGGAGCAAAGCACTCAGCCATTCATCTCTCTGTGAAATCAGCTGTGTTACTGATACAGAAGTTACACTGCTGAAGCCAGTGGATGTTTTATATTTGAATAAACAACATATCAGTAGGACCCAGTTTGTCTTCTGTCACCACACAGAGACACTCATGCTATCCTGTTTCTACCTGTTGGAATTCTGTAGACACATAGAAAAATTCAGGTAGCAAACAGGCATTTGAGATTATAAGCATCATTCTTTAAGCAGTTTTAGTGAACCACTTGAAATGCAAACAAGAAGCTCTATAAAGCATGAAATATTTCTTGCTTTTCTAATTTTGCATGTGCTAGATCAGATTTCTGCTGATTTTTAAAAAAGAGTGTTTAGGAGTATAAGCATTAGATTAACTTCCACTGACTTCATTAAATCCTATTGATTTCAGTGTTACCCATGCTTAAGTTATGCATGCTGTGTAGTGCTGTTCTGAATAGCAAGGCATTCATAAACCAGGGTCTGGATTTGTCTGTGTGGTTTGGAAACACATTTGGCAGCATGGCCCACACTGCTTGCAGTTTGTCATGTTAATGTGCTGATACCAGACTCAAAAGTGCAAACTGAGTAACTGATTTACTCAGGCAAGTGTTGGAGTTGTGCATGAAAAATAAGGAGCCACTTAATGGAATGTATGTTTCAGATAAAAACTTGAACATTTTGACAGCATGAATGTCACAAATAAGGGCAAATAATTTCTGAAAAAATATTCAGGCATTAGATATATCATTTTGTCTGATGTCATTGTCAGTTTCTAGTTACAGAAGTTGGTTGAGGACATTTATTATATTCCCCAAAAAATAAAGTAAGAAGTGTTGTGCAATGAAATTATCTGAAAATTAATACCCTGTTGTCCTAGTGAGGCTTATTAATCTCAGCAGAGATATACTAATTCACTTATTTGGGAAGCAAAGTCACTTTTTCAGAAGTAATTCTCTAATGTGAGTTATGGGTCTGATGTTTTTTTACCACCTTCTGGTAACTTTGAGGTGGGATAAACTTTGTGTTCTCTTGCAGTTGTGAATAATTGAAGTATGTAGTTGAAGAAAAAAGAAGTATGCAACTCTGAAAGATCTACAGTGATTTGTTTTACAAATTAGCTCCTACCTTTGGGATCCTAGATCAAAATTACTGTAAATAAGACAGTTTCATTTTCCTGAAAATGTTTCTTGGATGTCATAATTTACAAAGAATTGCAAAAAGTAAACAGACAGAGATATGTGAGCTGCAGCTGACTCTGAGGGAGAGAAGTATTGTGGAACTTGGTGTTGTGGTCTGTGAGCACCACAGGAGGAAGGCACCCAGGTTCAGGTGGAGGAGGCAGCCTAGAGGAAAGCTCCTTTCACCTATATGCAAATCTTGTTAGAAAGCTAGCACTGGGGGGGAATGTAAGAAATGATCTCAAGATGGGAAATGTGTTCTGCAATCAGCAGTGTAAGGGGATCCAGTGAAGTTTTGTGAAGCTGAATACTCTGTGTAATCATTTCTGGGCTGTTGCACAAATTACTTACTGTGCCTGAGCAAATTGAATTTTAAGGAGCTGGGGTCTGGAGTCAGAATAAATAGGGGGCTGTGTCTTACTTGGGAAGAGAGGGCAGAAACAAGGCCATTCAGGCAGATGGTTAGCATCGTTTGTTTCAGATGCAGGTATTTCTGTGCATATTTTTAGACTTCAGTGAGATGAAAAAGTAGTTCAGAAATTAGGAGGCAAAGCAGAAAAAAGAATGTAAGAATTATACTCAACGCTGTTTTAATGAAAAACATAGCTAGGACTATTGGAAAACCAAAGAGAATTTTAATTGCTAGAGAAAATAGCATTAAGAAAGCTCCGGGATTTCCATTGTTGGCCACAAATGAAGAGGAATTAGTCAGGTGGGAACCAGGCAGTGAAATCTTTTGGTTAGCACTCCACCAAACAGTGTTTGGTAGTCAATAAAGAGATCATTAATGTTAAAGTTCTTGAAGAGAGGGAATAGAGGGGACATGTGGTAGTCACCCATGCCCTCAAAAGTGGCCAGCTTGGTGCAGAGGATCTGACTGAGTCTCAGGGGTGCTTCCAAAGCAGGGAAGGGATCTATGTGCAGTGAGAAAATTCAGATGACATGAAAACATGCCCCAGCATTACAGACCCATAATGAATTTGTTGAATGTGTTTTTCATTTGTTGTATTTGTGCAACAATAAAAAAATTATAATTCAGAATGACTGAGTAATGCTTGGATAACACCAACAGCAAGCAGTGGCTCAGAAGTTTGGTGGCTTCTGGCTTTTGCACGAGTATAACGCGTGGTAGCAGCATGTGCATTTCACCAGAAATTCTTTCTTCCACTCTCCCACACTTGAAAAAAAGAAAAAAAAAAAACCAATCATAAACCCAAACCACCCATTCACATTTCGATTCGTTGTGTTATTTTTAGAAGAAGTTTAATTTGTCCTGAAGTTTAAGTGAGACTTACAATGTGGTATTTGTCACCTTATTTTGGAGGAAAAAGGTAGTTCTTGCCAACCTTGAAAATAGGTACTCAGATTTATGGCCAAATAAAAGACCCTAGGATACTTCCTTGAAGTTGATGGGAACTGAGAGCAAATCTTCACATCTGACCTAAGAAAAAAGCATTTAAAATGATCCAACTGACGTGAATAATTGTGTGACCAGAGGGGTTTTTTTGCTCATTATCTCTTGAATGAATTGGTCAATAAAGTGAAAGGGAAAGTTTAGTTATAATTTTTTCTATAGCACAGAAAAAAGCAAGACTTGACTAAAGATGAAAATTGCTTTGCTTAGGATTTTTTTCTGTCCATGTCAATCCACATTCCTACCCAATGGGAGTTCAGTTTAACAGCTTTCAGAGAGTAATCCTTGGAGATGTGGTAGGTCTGCTTTGATACTGATTCAACAGTAAATTAGCAGTCTCATTCTGAGTGGCACTTGTATATGCCAGTATAATTTTAACTTTTGTTTACAACAGTTACTATTATTAAGAGTAGAAAGGTTTTACTGATTTTTGGCAGCCCTTTTCAAACCCTTCTGCATTTCTCTGCCCTATGTTCATAAGTGACTGACTTTCTCAGCCTGATGTAACCCTTCTGTCTACATTTTCTTCTTCCCTAGTAGGGAAGCAAATGTTACATAACAGGCTGAAATCCAGGGACATGGGTTATTTCAGTCATTGTAAATGTGGGTCACTCGGAAGGAAATAATGGTTTATTGGTGTGGAGGGATTCTTAAATTCTCAACAGGCAAAAAGTAGTAATTGGGAGACTTTTTTTTCTCCAATACTTGTGATTCTACTTGTTTTCAAAAAAAATGCAGAAACTCCATTTGTCTGTGTGCAGAGTGACTGAAGTACTCTGTTCTGTTGTATCTGGAACTTGGCAGATAAACAAGCAGAGTGGAGAATTAAAGCACCCAGTCACATCAGCACACGTAGTGTATGCTCTGACTCATGCCAAACAGCTGAAATAGTTGTCTGCTATTAAAAGAAATGCTGAAAGTCTGGCATAAGCTTATTTTTGTACCTGCATCTGGTTGTTGCCAGTGTTCAGATAGAGCTCGTTGGGAGTCAGTGAGTGGATTTGCTGCCTTGTATGGGCAGCTTCTCCTTTGAATAAGGATTTTCATGCTGGAGATGGCAGAGCTGGAGCTGACCCACCCCCCTGGGCCTGGTCACTCTGGTAGGGGTCAGTAGGGACCCCAGCCAGGCATGCAGACTTGGCTGAACCATCTGATTCTTTAGTCCCGAGCACCCTGCAAAGCCTCAATAAAGTTAATAGGATGATGCACAAGTTTCATCCTGTGGGTGGCTTGATTCCTCATAGGAAATGCCATCAGATTTATCTGTGGTGTTGGCTGGCCTACAGATGTTGTTAAGCCTACTGCAAAGCATTTTTCTCCTGTATAAAGAAATTCTTCAGTTGTAATACTGTATTGAATTTCAGCTGTGTCTAAATAAGATTTGTAATGCTGAAGTAGCCCAAGTTCATAGAATGTACTCTAATAAACAGGTTTTCCTCAAGGAGCGTGTTTGGCAGCAAACAAAGTTTTCCAAATACCCACTTCATGTGCAAAACCCACAGTGTTTTATGATGACTGACTTTATGGACAGTGGTTTGCTAGTCATTTGGAAGCTTTCCTTGGAATAATAGAGATTTTTGTCTTCAAGTATGAGATTTTTTTTTTGTCTCTATCTGAGCTGATGCTAATGTGCAATCTGTACAACTGAGGGAGGAACCAAGGCATAAAAAAATTCAGCTAAAACTAAAGTTGCCACAGGTTCTTCTAGCAGTTACTGAACTGTTACACTTTACACCAAAGTCATCCCATGGTTCTTCTTGTTTCTTAAAAAGAGCTGATTTAAATAAGTGTATCCCACTTCATAATACAGATCTTCTTTAAAGTGCAATTGAAAATTCAGGCAAGTTTCCAGAGCATATTTATAGTAATTTCTTTTCTCTACTGTAGTTTAGATCACAACTTTTGTTTTTCCCTGGTTGCTTTGAAGTCATCAAGTTGGTGTTCATAGTTCTCAGTTTGCCACCAACACCTCTGATTGGACCTGGGTCTGTGATGCCAGGAAGACAAGAATCTCAGCATCTAAATGAACTTTTAACAAAGGAGATCCTTTTTTCCTGTTTATGGCCATAGTGATTAAAAGAGCAGCATGTGTTTCCAAGTACAGTGTTGTAGAAGAGTCTCGTGGGGAATCAGTTGCTCTTCAGTCAGACCTGTCCATTACCCAAGGACATACTCCCTGGAGCATACCCTTTCTGTGGTCTGAGAAGCTCCTTTCCTTTACACTTCCACTGAGAAGTGTTTCTAAATACGAATCTCATTTCTTTGTTTCCAGATGGTGTTTGGTTGGGAAAAAAAAAAAAAATTAAAAAAATCTTGCATTTCAGTTGCTCTTTTAAGATACTCCTTAAGAATTGTTTGGAAAGAGACTTCACCACCATACTAGAGAGATGCATCAGGAGCAGAGCTGTAGATTTAAAACAATGTTTTATGGTTTTAGGATTTATCACTGATTATAGGTGTATACTACACTTAAAAAACAGGCCTGATAATAATGGGAGTCCTGAAACAGTCCTAAATAAAGGCAGGCCTAAAACTGGAGCAAACTCCTTCTATGCTAACTGTTGCTTCTCTGGATTGTGGGAATTGCCAGTTCTGGATGCTTTGAATCTTATTGAGAAGATTGTCGGAATATTAAAGATGTATTTGGATGGTTCTTCCACAACCAAAACAAATATCTTGTTTCTTTAAACTTTTGTTTAATTTAACCCTGTTGAACAGCTTGGCTAGAAGGCAAATTACATTTTTGAGTGCATTCTGGGAGATTTATTAAATTATGTCCTTGATACATCCAGTTTTATGATACAGCCTGTTGTTGTCAGATTAATATTGCAGCTGGATCTGGTTAGTTACTTGCAAGTTCCAAATGATACTGTTACTTTATAAAATGAACTTTAAACTGGGGTAAATAGAAAATCCAGGTTACAGGGTATTCAATTTTTGCTACCATCTGATTTCTGTCTATTTTGTGTCTGTCTTGCTTTAGCAGAGAGCTCAGCAGGATTGTGTATCTGCGTTTTGTCCAATAATGATAAACGACATCTTAGAGCATAGTAAATACTGCATTTTTCCAGTAGATTTAAAAAGTAGGTTTAATAATAGAGAAACATTTCTAATGCAAAATACTTAGAAGTGCTGTTTAAAATTTTCATCTGTCAAATGTTTTCAGTTGCCCAGGAAAATATTCCTGTTGGCTAATCCTACATCAGCAAAAATATATTTGTGCATGAATTCTTATATTTCTTCAAAAGCAATGCTTTTGTTATTGAAGCTTTGAAAGTTTGTTTTATGAACTTCGTTTGTGTCGTATTGAGAGAGGTGCCAAAAATGGCTTTCTATTATTTCTTGGAGTTCTGTATTTTCTGAATATAACATAGACAGTACTTCTGTTTGTTAGGTAGTTGCTGTTTATTTCGGAGTAATTTGAAATAATTAAGATATTCAAATTATTGAAATATTCAATAATTTCAAAGACATTTCATTGTAGCTGTGACTGGAGTGGAAAGGTAATGAGTATTTCTCTATTTGCAGCTATATGCCAGCCAGGGTGCAAACACGGTGAATGCATTGGGCCAAACAAGTGTAAGTGCCACCCAGGATACACTGGAAAAACTTGCAACCAAGGTAAGAAAGAATTTATTTTTGAAATCATGGAAGTATTGTTGATCTCTGTACCCAGCCCACCAATGCTGTGTGTGTCCCCTGTGTTTACAGGGTAATGAACTTGTATAGCAGGTCTGTTCCTGCTGCAGCAAGTCTGATATTTGGAATGAAATTTGTAGAGAGATTGACATCTTCAGTAGGATGACACAGGGGGAAAGTTGCTTTCATTCAGAAGAAATCAATGAGATTAATTAAATAGGATGTGGTTACCTGCTCTCCTTAATCAGAAGCAAATAATTTAAACCTTATGGTCAGGATTGTTTTTTGTAAAGTCACAATTTTCAGATTTGAATAGTGAAATAATATGTGTTTCATTAAAAATCTCATAATTAATCCATTCTCATTTTAGTGTTCCTAATCCTGAACTAAGTTGCATTACACTATTAAAGGGTTGGTGTAAAGATGAAGTTTCTCTTACTGGATTATCAAGTTTCATTGTTTGGGGTTTTTTTCTTTAAAGTTATGTCCAAAGCATGTAATGGTATAAATATCATAAACAGTTAGAGAATTGTAATATGTGATGTTTAGACTTTGATGGCTAAGACATGTTCACACACAAAGATATTTCCATTATATCTCTTTTGCAGTTGTCTCAGCCTACAGAAAAATTTATGCATTTTCTGAGTGCTGAGGAAAATATGCTAGAAAAATGTGATGTTTAGAATTATTTTCTTCTTTAAGGATGTACTCTGATGTTGCTAAATTTCTTATGACATGTTGATTTTTAGACTGAGTTATTTTCTTTATAAATAGATACATATTTATTTTCAGGTTTACTAACCCTTCTCAAACTGATATAAAAATGTGTGTTGCGTTTTTCAGTTTTCTCAAAAGTTTCTGTCGTCTCTTATGTTATCCTGTCTTTTTTTCCCCCCTTACTCTGGTTTGACATTTTAAAGGATGTGTTGTTATGATTTTATTCTATGTGTTTTCATCAGTCCAAAACTGTTTTAGAAAACGGTGTAGTGAACTAATAGTTTGATGTATGTGTAACAGTTTTTATAGGTAGTAAATAGTTTAACAATACTGAAAGAATGCTTTGCAAATTGCTGGAGGCTTCCATCTTGAATGAAACTATTTACTTGCCACTAAATGCTAAGGAAGGAAAAATGTGATGGGTTGTCAAAGGAAGCACTTTGGGCAGTATTGATGACATTTTCTTGCATGGTGTTGGTGACAAAGCTGCCCTGGCAGATGCAGATGAGATGTCTGAGATGCCAGCTGACAGTGGTGCCCCAAGTGTGTGCCAGTTCAGGGGGCTGCTGCTGCTCTAGTGCGTGGTGAGACCCTCGAGCTGTTCCTGGGGTCATGATCTGCATTCTTGCCACGTGCTGATTCAGTGTTTGCATGAGACTGGAAAGTGTGCAGTGAATGAAAGCAGAGTCTGCTTTTGCTGGGAGGAGATTGAAATGGCACAGGATAAATGTGACCTATGTCATTATACCTTTATACAGCACCTGCCCTGTTCAGCCTGTGGCCCATTTTCTCAATCCTGTTCTAGAGTAGTAACAATTATTCTGTACTTCTAGAACCATACTTCTAGAACAGAAGTAACAATGTTGGCAGAGGAGATGTTGGAGTTCCCTGCAGAGATGGAAGGGTTTCTAGGATGTGTGAATGGTTCTGGGCTGTAAAGTATGCTCATGTTCTTGGTGAAAGGCATTCTTTGAGTACCAGCTCTGATAAACAGGCTTTACATCTCATCTGTTTGTGTGCCCCATGGATCAGGCTGTGCTCCTGGGACTGATCCAGGAGATCAGCCCAGCCTCACAGCAGAGCTGTTCAGCCCTGACTGTGTGATGATACTGGATGCTTGTCCTTTTCCAGTGCTACTGCAGCTGCTATGACAATCCATACAACTTCAGTGTTGCCTGATCCAAGTTACGTGATAGGCAAAAAAAGGCAGAAAAAGTCTTGAGTGCTGAACTCTGCAGAAGCTAATTAAAAGAAAATAGCAGAGGGCATTGAATCTGCTTAGAAATAAGTGGCCCATTGTTGGGTGTGCACTGAAGTTGGTCCAAGACCATGCATGGTGCAGCAGAGCAGTCACAGGAGTCACATCCGGGTTTGCCAGCATAACACTCTGTCCTTCCCTTGCACTCACATTTCATTTAATCCCTTTCGATATAAAATACCTGTGCTCAGCAGCTTGTGTTTGTTATAAACCTGCTTCCCATAGTGGCCAAAACAGTCAGTCTGCTTTTATGAACTCTACTGCCTTGTGTTACCTTGAAATCAAGAGTGCTGGTTTTGTGGCTGTGCAATTGTAGACAACATGGGAATTAAAAGATTGAAAAATGAAATTTTCAAATGCAGGACAATGAGTGGACATTCCCACAAAGAAATTGAAGGGACTTGTTTAACTTGTTAATAGTGTTGCACTTCATACTATTCTCACACTATGTTACTAATAGGTGTCTTTTTGTCAGTAGCAGAGCTTTCATTTCTGTACTAAGAATACTTTGTATCACGTGGTGGTGTAGAATTCAGAGTCCTATGGAAGGATCCAGTATTTTAAGTCTCATAATGTAATCTATACTCTATGCAGGATAATATACTGAAAACAGTAATAAATTCTTATTTTTGCCTTTGAGTCCGTGGTCATAACTCTGGAAGTGCATGACAGCTTTGTAGTACTCAGGAGTATTCTAAACTTAGGAGCTGAAGTGCGGTGGAATTTAAACACTAGAACTTAACACAAGGCACTGTTCAAATCCTGCCCTGTCAACTTAATTTCAGTGTTATTTTTCCTTATTCTGTCCCTACTTCTAGTTAAGTATTTTATACCTAGCTCTGTTATGCCTTTATTTTGTAAAGTGATTATTTTTGTAGAAAATAGGAAGAATACAGATACAAATTTAAAATCCAGACATTAAGAACTCGTAAAATTCCAGGTCTAGTTGTCTAGAATCAATGATTTCTCTGACTTCACCTCTACAGTGAAGGTAACTTTTCTCACTCCATTTACTACATAGACCCACTTAAGTTTTCTGAAAAGCAATCAATGAATTACTGACTTCATTGCAGCCAGAGGTGCATTTATCTTTCTGGATCAGCACCTTAACCCTGAGCTTTTGCCTCTAGTGCACAGAGGTATCTGTCATCTCCTCAGCTGGCATTTTATGAAGTGGCTACTGTGTATGTATCTAGGACACGATGGGAGCCTCAAGGCTTACTTTTCTGCTACATGGATTGAGTGACACTTGATATGATGGTGCCACTGGGAGATGGCTCTTGGAAAACTTCTGGAAAAAATGGCAATTCTCTGTCTGCAAAGGACTGCCAGACAGCATGGTGCAATATTAGAGATGATGGTTGATAACTCATTTTCTTAGGTCCTCCCTGGCTGGGTTTATGAATAGATTTATTATTTTCATCTTTGTTCTAATCTTTGTTCATCACTATGCCCATTTTCTCAATCCTGTTCTAGAGTAGTAACAATTATTCTGTACTTCTAGAACCATACTTCTAGAACAGAAGTAACAATGTTGGCAGAGGAGAGTTGGAGTTCCCTGCAGAGATGGAAGGGTTTCTAGGATGTGTGAATGGTTCTGGGCTGTAAAGTATGCTCATGTTCTTGGTGAAAGGCATTCTTTGAGTACCAGCTCTGATAAACAGGCTTTACATCTCATCTGTTTGTGTGCCCCATGGATCAGGCTGTGCTCCTGGGACTGATCCAGGAGATCAGCCCAGCCTCACAGCAGAGCTGTTCAGCCCTGACTGTGTGATGATACTGGATGCTTGTCCTTTTCCAGTGCTACTGCAGCTGCTGTGACAATCCATACAACTTCAGTGTTGCCTGATCCAAGTTACGTGATAGGCAAAAAAAGGCAGAAAAAGTCTTGAGTGCTGAACTCTGCAGAAGCTAATTAAAAGAAAATAGCAGAAGGCATTGAATCTGCTTAGAAATAAGTGGCCCATTGTTGGGTGTGCACTGAAGTTGGTCCAAGACCATGCATGGTGCAGCAGAGCAGTCACAGGAGTCACATCCGGGTTTGCCAGCATAACACTCTGTCCTTCCCTTGCACTCACATTTCATTTAATCCCTTTCGATATAAAATACCTGTGCTCAGCAGCTTGTGTTTGTTATAAACCTGCTTCCCATAGTGGCCAAAACAGTCAGTCTGCTTTTATGAACTCTACTGCCTTGTGTTACCTTGAAATCAAGAGTGCTGGTTTTGTGGCTGTGCAATTGTAGACAACATGGGAATTAAAAGATTGAAAAATGAAATTTTCAAATGCAGGACAATGAGTGGACATTCCCACAAAGAAATTAAAGGGACTTGTTTAACTTGTTAATAGTGTTGCACTTCATACTATTCTCACACTATGTTACTAATAGGTGTCTTTTTGTCAGTAGCAGAGCTTTCATTTCTGTACTAAGAATACTTTGTATCACGTGGTGGTGTAGAATTCAGAGTCCTATGGAAGGATCCAGTATTTTAAGTCTTATAATGTAATCTATACTCTATGCAGGATAATATACTGAAAACAGTAATAAATTCTTATTTTTGCCTTTGAGTCCGTGGTCATAACTCTGGAAGTGCATGACAGCTTTGTAGTACTCAGGAGTATTCTAAACTTAGGAGCTGAAGTGCGGTGGAATTTAAACACTAGAACTTAACACAAGGCACTGTTCAAATCCTGCCCTGTCAACTTAATTTCAGTGTTATTTTTCCTTATTCTGTCCCTACTTCTAGTTAAGTATTTTATACCTAGCTCTGTTATGCCTTTATTTTGTAAAGTGATTATTTTTGTAGAAAATAGGAAGAATACAGATACAAATTTAAAATCCAGACATTAAGAACTCGTAAAATTCCAGGTCTAGTTGTCTAGAATCAATGATTTCTCTGACTTCACCTCTACAGTGAAGGTAACTTTTCTCACTCCATTTACTACATAGACCCACTTAAGTTTTCTGAAAAGCAATCAATGAATTACTGACTTCATTGCAGCCAGAGGTGCATTTATCTTTCTGGATCAGCACCTTAACCCTGAGCTTTTGCCTCTAGTGCACAGAGGTATCTGTCATCTCCTCAGCTGGCATTTTATGAAGTGGCTACTGTGTGTGTATTTAGGACATGATGGGAGCCTCAAGGCTTACTTTTCTGCTACATGGATTGAGTGACACTTGATATGATGGTGCCACTGGGAGATGGCTCTTGGAAAACTGGAAAAAATGGCAATTTTCTGTCTGCAAAAGACTGCCAGACAGCATGGTGCAATATTAGAGATGATGGTTGATAACTCATTTTCTTAGGTCCTCCCTGGCTGGACTTATGAATAGATTTATTATTTTCATCTTTGTTCTAATCTTTGTTCATCACTATGCAAATAAATAACAACAATAATAAGTGACAAATTATTCTGGCTTACTCAGACAAAATCAACGCATATTCTTGGAAGAGACTTCTGAAGGAAATAATCTTCTTGTTTGAAGTTCTGTCTACTAATATGGAAACTGTAGGCTGAATATTTTCAGTTCAAGCCATGAATTTTCTATTAAATTGTAAGTCTGAAATGCTAGCCATGATGGATGGTCCTTGACAAATATCAGCTGATGTCAGATACTTTCTTTGAGTATTTTCTAAATGATAAGGATTAAATTTCCTCTGTGAGATTATTTGAAGTAAGTTGGCATCAGCTTTCCTACCTTCCTCTGCCACTAATTTTGAAGCATGATGATGAATCACTGAATTGCTATCAGAACCACTGATAGTGATTGCAGAGTGATGTTTGCTTTCTCTCTCCTCCTTCTCCGAGTGCTGCCTGGTCCTGGACATGGCATCAACACGAATAGGGGCAAGACGTGGGCAGCCTGAGCTTGTGTGTTGTCTAATGAAGCAGCTGGCACTTCATCTAATGCTAATACTGTAATTTTTGGAAAGACATCTATGAAACCAAGCCAAATAAGCTGCTTGGCTGGAGGGATGAGCAGTGCAGGATGGTTTGGCCGCTTGCTATCAGCTGAGCTGCGTATAAAAAGCTAATTGCCGTATTTTTCCTTCCTTCTCCAGCAGCTTGAAACTGGCAGTTTTGCCACGCATGCCTTGTGTGTTTTCTTCTCCCACCCTCTTCCCTTGTGCCCTTCATTTCAGATCTGAATGAGTGTGGACTAAAGCCGCGGCCGTGCAAGCACCGGTGTATGAACACCTACGGCAGCTACAAGTGCTACTGCCTGAACGGCTACATGCTAATGCCAGATGGAACGTGCTCAAGTACGGCCAGCCCTCGTGCTTGCTCTTTCCCAGCTTCTCAGAATCCCTGCTGGAGTTTCCCTGGACAGCTTCTATGAAATGAAAATGAGTCCCCAAGTAAAAGATTAATCTTGCTGGAAATTAGGCAGCTACACAAGATGAGCTCTTTTTTTCCTAGTTAAATTAGGCTGAAAAAAAACCAGGAGCAATTGTTTTGATTTTTATTAGTTTTATTGAAAGTTTTCCCCAGAGCATTCTTCAGTGCTGTAAATCACTGCTAATTGGCCTTTGAGGACAAGTGCTTGCAGTTTTCATTGCAGCAAGACACCTGCATTTCTGCTGCCTTATGGCCTTAGGAGCATAAAATCTTTAATGCTGCAGATGTTGGTTTTTGACTGGTATAAAAATTGTACTGCCATCTCTCCGGGGATCAAGTTCATACTTGTTCCCATAAAAACAGTTACTTTGAGTATCTGGACAGAGGGAAGGGGAGAGAAATTACCTTCAGTTAGAGATACCCCATTTTTAAAATGGCAGTAACTGTCTAGGAGAGTCTGTAGTACATATTAGGCTTTATATTCTGGGAACTGCATTCAATAACACAACTTACAATTGTGGTAGTTTATTTTTTTTTTTTTAATTTTCTTAGAGAAAATTTTGTACATTAGAGAAAATTTTCTTAGTTTGTGGAAAGAAGAATTTTACTAGCAGATGTTTTCCTCTTTGAAGCATACAAGCATTTCCCCACTTTTATCATAAATATGTGACATCTTAATTCTCCAAAATTTTCATTAATTTTGTAGCACTGATCATAGTCTTTATCTAAATGTGTTCAATTATTTTTCTCCAGATGCCCTTTCCTGCCTGATGGCAAACTGTCAGTATGGCTGCGACGTGCTGAAAGGGGAGGTGCGCTGCCGCTGTCCTTCTCCAGGGCTGCAGCTTGGGCCTGATGGCAGGACTTGTGTGGGTAGGTGATCAGATGTAGATTTAAAATTTTTAATTTTTTTTCTCCAGAATGCTCTTACCCTTGCACAGAGTGCAGTTCAAGAGAGTTTATCAGAGATACTTAGAATGCATAGAACAGGCAGTTTGAAGTTAGTAATGAGAACAGTAATAGGGCTGTTGCTCAGGTGCCCTCGTGTCAGAGATTGCCAGTGTTTTGCTCCAGTCCTGCAAGTGTCATTGTCTGCCTAAAGCCCATACAGACTCCCTGCTATCCAAGCCACTTGCCACTCCTGCTACTGGGTCATTTTAAACTACTGCTAACTCCAAAATACCTGCCTGCATAAAAAAGGAATGGAGAGATCACCTTTCCCTCATACCCAACAAGGTGGTGCCTAGCTCAGTGGGTAGAGGGATAATTTGTAAAAATCATTGATATTGTAGTGGGGCAAGGTGGAGGTCTGTGCATGCTCCCAGTATGTGCTGACCTTCTTCCATACTGTGAAAACTCCAGGTTAAAATAAACATAGGAACTTAGAGTGTATAAAAGTGAAATGTTTTGTTCCCACGTTTGTGAACATGGAAAAGGTGCTTATGGTTAATCAGACTTTACTGTGGTCTGAAGAACAGTGTGACATGTGATTTCATCAGTCATTAACTATACATCCTGAGTGGGATATGATGCTCCAGTGATTTTATTATTTATATTCTATGAAGTGCTACAATTCCATAACCAGTAACACTGAAAGAATATAAGAAAATGGGAATGTCCTAATCTTCTCTTTGGGTATCTTGGCTGTCCACAGGGTAGGTGTTTCCTTAAGTGCCTAACCCATGCTGACCAAAAGTTTTTTGGCAGAGAAAGGGACATACTCTAGATCTTCTGACGAGAAGGGCAGGCTCCACACCAAGTCAGAGGCTTTCTGAAGTGCATGATTGGCACATCTGTGTATGGAAAAAATTGGAAAGAACAGGAGGAAAAAACCTACCATTGTTGCATATTGAAGGGATTAAGTTGTGATAAATCCCATTGTGGATATTATGGCAAAGAGATCTTTGGAAGATACTTGTGCCATGCCATAGTGAGCTGAATGATTTTAAGTACAAATTCAAGAAAGGTACACCACATAGAGAAATTTGCTAGCAAAAATGCTTACAACATTCTCCTAGTATTTATTTTTCTATTCAGGAAAACTTCATGCTTTGAAATAAACAAAGTGTACTTTAATGCCAAAGGCTAACATTCCAACCAATCCTATGAAGCTCTTTGAGTTCTTCAGTGCAATTTTCAAAAAAAACATTTTTTTTCCCCCAGAAAGGCAAAGAACTGCATACCCACATTTTAGGTGGGTATGCATCAATCAGAAAGACCTCAAAACCTATTTCTAAAATTTCCACAAGAATTTCAGAGCAGCCTTGTACAATACAGAGCAAATAGTTACAGCAAGAGATGTCTGTTCTTCCTGCATCGTAACATAATGTTCTCCCCCTTTTTGGTAAGAAGTGATTATGACATGCACCCTTTCTGTGTTATTTCTCTATCAAGTTCAAGTTGCAGTAAGTACCTCAAAGAGTTGAAGCTACCTGGGACTAAGGCTGTGCTTTTCCCTCATGTTTGTACAAGCTTGTCACTCACTGTTGGGGAAGTTGCTGGCTCCAGCAAGGGTCAGGATGATGCTGCAGTACAAATAGAAGTGTAGGTGGTGGTAAGAAAATGGAAGTGAGCATTGCCTACAGCTCATGAAATCCTTGTTTGAGGAAAGTCTGAAAGACAGCTGGGAATGCAATGCCTATTTTTAGCACAGGTGGAAATTCCTCTGGGCATTATTCTATTCTTAGTTTAACAGTTGCTGAGCATTCCCTTGTTTAAAATGTTCCTTTCACACAATCAGTAAAGGGCCACCAATTTGGCTATAAAGGTAAATTGTATAAACTAAATTGCAAGAAAGTGAAAAAATAATTCAGCAAAGCATTCTGTGAAAATGTGGATTAAACAGCTGATTAATTGATTAATGATCCTTGAATCAATAAATCAATTGGTCTTGCCAGGATTTTGGATTGGGATTTTAATTTAATGAAATGAGCCATATACACATTTCATCTTCAAATGTTCTGAAATTATTTGAGGGCTGAAAATAATGATTTTTCACCATAAAATTAATTCTTTCCTTTTTGTGTGTGTTTAGAAAATTGAAGATACAGCTTTGTAAACTTAAAAATTATACTATTTTTAAATTAGTCTCAGGTTATTTTGTGCTTGAGTTGGTAATCTGGTCATACTTGCAACAAGAGAGAGAAGCAATTCTGCTTCTCTGGTGGACACTGACCATCACACTCATTAGGTACTGATCATCACACTGCCTCATGTGTCTTTGGAGCAGCTCCCTGGTGCTGAGGTGAGCTCCAAATCCCCCCTCCATGCCCTGCTTTTCACAGGAAGCAGTTGTGAACCACAGCATCTTGCAGCAGGCGAAGGGAAGCAGCTCTGCACCTTTTGGTCCAGGCGTGGATTGGCTTGAAAGAAGCCACAGTGACTGCACTGTTTGAGAGCTGCAGGGAGCTGATCACAAGCACTAGAAGATCATCTTCTGGCTACTGATCAAAAAGTGGATTTCCCCTCAGCAATGAGCATCCATGCACCTCTCATTATATGCAAGTGGAAGGCTGCTACATTTTTACATATTTTTGCATCAGTTTTGAACAGTATATTAACAGTTCTGTCCTGTATCTCTAGGACACATAACTGCCTACCACTACACTGCTGCAATAATTTAACATAATTTTTGCCTCATGTGAGTTTGCAAAAATGTGAATTGATATGAATATGTACAGAGGAAGAAGCAGGACATGCTACATTAGGTTTTTAAAGATCATAATCCATGCCATGATGTATATTCATTGTATATTGTATATTCAGTGGCTAATCTTGTTCTTACTGAACTACTTTTTGAAGCTGTGGTTTAAAGATTAAAAAACCCAACCAAAACCAACAAAAATCCCAACTAACTCTTAGTAATCAAGAGTCTTAAAATTGCAGCCTTGAAATAATATTTTAATAAAGGATAGAAAATTGTGACTTGTTGATTAAATTGTAATAAGAAGCATGGTAGAGTTTGTAAAACTTAGTAGCATACTCAAAGCCTAAAATGTTAACAATAAATTCAAATCAAGAGACAGATTTATAGGAAGATTCAGGCATGTGGAGAGGTGCCCAGTACTGGACTTGTTTTCTTTCTCATTGAGGCCTTTACTGCATGGTTCCAGCAATGCTCCTGATGGAGAGAGAGCAGTCAGGAGTGTGGGTGCTCAGGGGCTGAATCCCTGCTGTCCTCAGTAATTCTTCATGCAGAGTGGGACAGTGCCAGCAGGAGCTCCTGGGATGACCCATCTGGCCAGCAATTCATGGCCTTAAGTCACTTCTGTTGGCTGTGGGAGCCCAGCTTGGGGAGAAGCTGAAGCTCCATCTCCCCACCTCAGGTAGCTGCCCTGACCAACTAACCAGCAGCTTTGAGGTAACATTTTTTCTGTGCAGTGGGAGAGGCTCTGCCTTGTTCAGGCCTCTTTCACAAGAGCAGTGGGGCATCAATCACTCGGCTTTGTTTTGCACTCTTGACGTCGGCAGCTGAAGGGCTGCTTTTGGGAAAAGAACCTTGTGGAGAGCAAAATCTTGCTTTCCCATAGATCAAGAGCCTGATAGAGCTGCAGAGCAAAGGCTTGAACTGTGCCCTGTAGATAACCAGCAAACAGGAGGAGCTGCGTGCGTCAGGAGCAGCCATGCATGGCAGGTCTCTGCCTCAGTGAGAATTGGTGTTTGAGCACTCAGCAGCCTCAGCTCAGTGTCCAGGGGCTGCAGAGTGAGTGGCAGCTTTTGTGTGTCAGCCTGACCTCGTCTGAGAGCTCCCCAGGCAGGGAGAGCAGCAGTGGGTGAGCATCAGCTGCTCCCTGGGCATCTGCCTGGGACCCAGAGCTGAACTGGAGGGTGGCAGCTTTTGTGTGTCAGCCTGACCTCGTCTGAGAGCTCCCCAGGCAGGGAGAGCAGCAGTGGGTGAGCATCAGCTGCTCCCTGGGACCCGGAGCTGAACTGGAAGGCACAGCCAGAAGAAGTGCTCAGGAATTACTGCTGGCTGACCTAAGGGCCTTATGAAAAATACTTTGGCTATTCTTTAGCATTCCATTATGTGAAACCAGTTTCATTTAGACAGCATACATTGTATTTTAACTGTTATTAATAATAATACAGTTCCTTTGTTTCCACAGATATTGATGAATGTGCTACTGGGAGGGTTCTCTGCCCACGATTCAGGCACTGCGTCAATACCTTCGGGAGCTACATTTGCAGGTGTCATAAAGGCTTTGACCTGATGTACATTGGAGGCAAATACCAGTGCCATGGTAATAGCAAGCTATTTCCCACGTGTGTGTGATAGAGCTGTGTATTTGAAAATTAAATTAATGGCTCAAGGAGGAAGGTTTATTTATTATGGCTGAAATGTTGAACCAGGTTGTTTTACACTGAATTGGTATTGTAAGAAAGGGTGGATTATAGAAATAGGCTGTGAAAGAGAAGGCATGTATTTGGCCCACATTCTCGTAGCTGGTTCTTGTGAGGAGCACAGAGCTGATGACTGCAGGAATTCCTTTCCAAAGCCGTTTTTTCCTCAGGGTTCATTGTCACTGGCAGTTGTAAGCTTGGAGCAGTGTTTGAGCTTTGGCCGTGTCTGAGCTGTAACACTGGTGTGCTCCATAGCATGTCCCAAGATCCAAGATAAGAAAATATGCACACCCTACCTCCTCCCAACCCAGACTGCCCAACTTTCTTTCCCCTGCAGACAGGTGGGGAAGAGGCAGGAGTTGGGAAATAACCTGTTTTTGTCTGGACATGAGACTGGAATGCAGCTGGTGTGTGCCCTTCAGAAAAGATATTCACAGGTCTCTCTGCCTTAGTTTCAAAGGGTCTCAACTGGTTATGATTCTTTCATTGAAAAAAAGATCATTTGGAGATAATGAGACATTGCTTTATGTTTGCTTAAGTATTTTTTTTCAGATAAATTTCTATTCAGAGTGCTGGGATTTGGAGAGTTTTGCTTGCATCACTGACAATAAATGTGGATATGGCATATGAAACATTTCCAGGAGTTTCTACTTGATGTAGAAACATCTATACAGATGTACAATATAGGAGGAATTTTATGAAGAAAACCAATTTAATATCTGTGTGATTAAGAACATGCGTATTCCTACACTCAGTTTGCTTTATTCTTATTCTGTCACCTGTAAGAAATGGTTGTTAAAATTGTGATCTTAATGATCTCAGCTGCAATCTACCTATGGCATGTCTGATGCTAAGGTGAAGGTAAAAGCTTAGCAATACCAAAATTGCCCAATAGTCCCTATTTTCCCTAATGTTTGCATCACCACATTGATTTGTGACTGTCTATTTTCCTTTTTTCCCCTGGCAAAAGTTTTATTATTATTTTTTAAAATAATCAAAATTGTATTAGTGTTTGGGGTTTTTTGCAGGGATAAGCAGAAAGTCAGGTTTCTACAAAGCAAATGATTTTTTAATGTAAATTTTCCGTTGCAGATATAGATGAATGTTCCCTTGGCCACCACCAGTGTGGTAGTTTTTCACACTGCTACAACACTCCAGGATCCTACAAATGCAAATGTAAAGACGGGTACAGAGACAATGGAACAAACTGCATACGTATGTAATGCTACTTTTATGATAGAGATTCTGAAAGCTTGAGTGTCCCATTTTGTAAACTTTAAGGTACAGCTCTGTCAGGCTCAGTTTCTCTTAACTATTTTTAATACTAAATAAGGGCCCAGGGAATGTAGTTGGAGTTTTCTAGGTCTTAGCATGCCTTGGTAAAAATATCTTTCCCTGAGACATTTTCATAATTAGAAAGAAATTCACCTCTCCCTATTAGCTGCTTGATTCTAGAGATTGCTTCAGGATGGGAGCAACTGAGTAAGCAGGGTAGGTCTGATCAAACAGTGCACATTACTCATACCCTGTTGTTATGTACACTCCACAACTGGCCCGTTTCAGCAGCTCGCCCCATCCACTCCCTGCTGCTTCCCAGATGTGAGAAGAGCCAGGAGGGAGGATTCCTCTGGAAGGATTTGCTGTTGGAAAATTCCCTTGGCCACCTTTCTCTTGGGAGAAGCAGCCACCCCCTTGGTACAGAATAAGGTGCTGGAGCTCTCCCATATTTGATGTCCCACAGGAGTGTGCAGCTCCTGGACATGACATCTGCTGGATCTTTTTGATCCTGCATTCCTCTGTGGGATCTGGTCTTTGGTGACTCACTGATCTCTTTAAAGATCAGCACCATTTTTCCCCTTTGGCTGTAGCTGTCATGGTAAAAGGTGTTCTCTCACATCCTGAGTGCTTGCTTGTGGGCACATTTCATGTGTGTTACTGGGATGTGGTCCTACAGGGTGTTCTGTATTTTAATACACTATAAATGTCAAAACTACAGGGTACTCAAAGGGATAGTAATAAACAAGTGGCCAGAGGGAAAACCTTTTTACCTGCTCTCATCAAACAATTCACTGTTTAACAAACAGTAGTTCTTTATTTAACTGTGTGCTGTACTTGAAATGCTTGTACACAAACTACATGACTAGAGCCTTTTAAGATCTCCAGTGAGATATAAAAGGCTTATTAACCAATAGAAAACAACAAAACATATTCTTGTGTTTCATGTCTTCAGAAACTCTCCTTGTGAAACTAAGTTAAAATTTGTTGTCCTGTCTGAAACATTGGGAGAGATAGTACTGTGGGCACTGTCACAGTAAAGCGTTGTTCAGTCCAGCACCTTGCTTTTGTGAAGGCTGAAAAATGTCTTAGTTTCCTGGTGCTTAGCAAAGAGAACGATCTAAATGAAGGCTGGCTTGGTTCAATCTCTAAAATAATTCTGCTTATTGACAAGGAGAAACATTTAGAAGGAAAGGTCTGCAAGAACTTTCTTAATCCAAGGTACCTGGCCATCTGTGATCAAAATGCTTGTAATGTTGGGGTCTTACTAAACTTGCTTCCACTCCTGGTTATGAACTTGTCCAGTTTAGAGGGCTGCTTAACCCGTGGCTTCCTGCCCATGCTTTTTTAACCAGCAAGCTTTTGTGTAAGTTATGCCAACTCTGAAAGAGACTTGATGCTTGAGAGGATGTAGGATGGAAGTGACTTGACCTTCAGTCATTCTAAATTATCTCTAAACTGCTGCAGTGCCAAGTACGACCTAAAGTGATGTGTTAATTTAGCAGTGCTGATGCTAAAGTATGTTTCTAACTAACGGAAACCTTCAGAGGAAAAAAATTTATTTCATCCAAGTGTCTCTGTGTCACAATGAAATAGATTATTAAGTTTCTGGAGTGAGAGGCTGAGATGTTGATTTTGGTCCCATTTTGATTCTCTTTGTAGTTATTCCTATTGTTCTGATTGAACCACCTGGTCCTCATCACATATTCAAGGCCAGTTGCACTCTCCCTGAGGGAGGCAGTGGTAGAATGAGCAGGATTGTTGACGCTGAAGGCACAACTCCTCAGACAACTGCATGTCCCTGCTTTTGTTACAGAAAGGCCAGTGACCAGACCAACAGCTCGTCCGACACCTGGGCCAGCAACTCGTCTGGCACCTGTGCCAACAACTCGTCCTACGCCTGTGCCAACAACTCGTCCTACGCCCGTGCCAACAACTCGTCCTACGCCTGTGCCAACTCAGCCTGCACCCAGGACAAGTCGACTGACACCCAAGCCAACCACGAGATACGTGCCAGTGACAACAAGGCCGGTCACGACACCAGTGGTGAAGCCTCCACCTCCAACAACACCTCAGCCTACAACGGTGAGACCTACACTGCCACCACAAAGAACTCCTCTGGTAACAACTGAAGAGCCTGCACATGTTCCCATTGAAACCACATCTTCCCAAGGAGTTATAGATGACAACAGGATCCAGCCAGATCCTCAGAAACCCCGAGGAGATGTGTTCAGTAAGTAATTTTACATGTGCCTTTGTTTATCAAAGCTGCAGATGAAAGCACACACTATACTGTTTGGGATTTTTTGGAACACTATACCATTGAGAACAGAGAAATTAAACTGAAAATGGTTATATGGTAAAGCAGCAAAAGTAGTTGATTTTACTACCTAACAAAACTTTGCAACTGAAGTTCTGAATCAATCAATCAATCAAAAAAGTGTTTATTTTTTTCCCCCTGAAATTATTGAGTATATTGTCCTGTAGAAGTACTTAATTATGCTTTCAGATGAAGGTTATAAGGAAATGAAAGACATTTTATTGAAAAGGATTGAAGTGCAACACAACTCATAAAGTAGTCAATGGATTTAAATTCAGAGTGTTGGGAGTCCCTCTGAAACAAAATATTACCATAGCTTTAAGAATAGTAAAGAAATGGGATCATGCCTGATTACCTAAAGACCTAAAGACTTCTATGAGACATTTTTTGTATGGGTTCAAATAAGTCTCAGCTGCTCATGACTAAACAATGGGAAAAATGCATAAAAATAGCTTAGAGGGTAGTTTTCTGGACTGTGTCTGTGGAAAGGGATACATGAAAAGCTGAAGATAGTAAAGATTCTCATAGCATGAACACATGTAACTTTAGGAGCTCCTCTGAAGTCTACAGCACCATTGTGCCAGCTTTAGTGCATACCACAGGAGACTTTACTGGCACTTACAGAGCTGTGCATATCTGCCAAGAAATACTCAACACCAGATTTCATCTTTAGTTCTGCGGCTAATTTTAGAGATGGGGAGGGTGTGTTGGAGCAGCTCTCCAGCTTGTTGTACAATAAAGCTGCTGAAGCAATGTAGTAGGAGGAAAAGTTTGCTGTCTCAGAGCAGGTGCACAAGCAACGTGGGAGTTTTTTTTCTGGTTGCTTTGGCATCTATGTGGTGATTTCTTGGGCTTTGTTGTTCCAGGTCATTACCCAGTGAAGTATTTGTTCCTTGTAAAAGTGTTTTCCCTGTGACATTTTATCTCTTGTAGACAGTTAGAAAATGGAGAGTGAAGCTGACAAAAGTTAGAAGACAAATCCCGGTACTGCTTAGTAGAGTGTTCTTTTGGCTTCATATTCAGTTAAAAATATGGACTTATGTTTAAGTGAAATTCTAAAAGGAAATATAATGAAGATTTATGAAGCTTAATCTAATGGGCCCCAACAGTTAAAAATACAGTTTTGTAGAAATTATTGTAGGCTCCAGCATTATGCTTCCCAGGTGTGTGTCACACTGCAAGTGTTCTCTGGAATACTAAAGCAGAGGTATAGTTTCATTTTTCATGAAGTCATAACAATTCTCTGTGTAAAGCTTATTATTTAAGCTTAGTATTTACAATTAGTCCTTCTGTATTGTCCCTAGAGGGATTTTGAAGCTAATACTTTCAATACATGTGTTTCAGATACAGGAGTTTGGAAAATAGGAAGGTGAAAGCCTTTGAAGTTGGCTTGGTCTGACTGCAGCTTACATTATGGTACATATAACAAACACAGGACCTTTGCAAAGTGTTTATCAACTGTTGGTTTAGGTCAGCTGCCACACTGAGGTTTGTGATATACATACTTAGCTTCAAAGGCTTCAGTGCAGAGCACAGCAGGACTGAAAGGGTTGAGCACGAGCTGTTCCTGGCCTCAGCAGGTAATACAGACAGGGAGTCCTTGGATCAAGTAAACAGATGTCTGTCTTCAATCCCATGTAATTTTTTTGGGTTACCTGCAAGAGACACACTTGATATACATGTGTGATGTAAGTGCGTGACTGAAAGCCTATTCCACTTGTGCTCCAGATGATGCAGTAGTGTGATCTTCAGTGAAGCTGTGTCTTTTTTTCTCCTATCTCTTTATCTTTTTCTCTCCTTTCCACTCTGCTTTCTGCTCTGTTTTTCTCTCTTTTCTCTTCTGGACACTTTTAAAGTATCATATAGGTAGTGGTCACTGGAGTCCTCTCCTAATTTCTCTCTGTGTAGAAGTGTTTGTGTTGGGAGTGCTCAAAAGCATTTCTTAAGGATTTGAAACTTACAGTTTAGTGCAAAACAGTTCAGTTTCAGAAGAATGTGCTACTTTCTCAAAGAAAGCATTGCTTGTAGAGTAGGGTGTTTCTCAAATCCTGTTACTCAAGAGGTTTGTGGGGAAGAGCAGAAGTTACATTTCCTCATGTGGGACATTTAGAAAAGCAGGTAGAAAAGTTATAGCCCACATACATTGCTACAGTGGGATGCACAGAGCCTGGGTCTGCCTCTCCTCAGTCCTGCACTTGTAAGGATAACACGGAGATACTTGGACATCCCCAGATGCCATCACACTGGCTTCAGGAGCATGGGAGCAATATGGCAGGTGCTGCATTGCTGGGCATTAGCTGGGCTGCAGCCCTGGCTGCATGAGTGCTCGTGGCCATGGCAAATGTCAGGTGAGGTGCATTACCTGAAATGCCTTTCACGTTAGCTCACAGATGTGGTGTGCAGGTTGAGCTCAGGTCCTGCTGGCCAGCCCTGCCCCTGCTCCAGGTGTGTGGGAGAGCAGTGCCTGGCTCTGTTTGGCTGCAGCTGCTCGGTGTGAGGCACTGGGAGCTCAGGACAGCAGTGCTCCCACCAAGTGTGAGCCAGAACCTCTCCAAAATCACTCCTCACAGCCAGACACAATGGTGACAGCCATGGGATTAAGACAATACAGGATTTCAAACTGGAATAAGTAGTAACATTTAGCTAACCTTCAGCTTGCTTCTTAGCTGCTATGTGGATGTGCCAAGCCCTCCCCACCTCCCAAAACATTTGTGGATTTTTCACTTGCCTCTATATTTCTTCAGGAAAAAGGAGTTTTGAACTATTTCCTTCAGCTTCTTTAAAGCTGTTTCTCTTTTAGTCTCACCTACATCAGACATCTTTGTAATATTCCTGGGTTGTGGATATGAGCTAATTTTGTTTTGCTTATGCTGAGCTTCTTTAGGTTCATTTCCTCATATTAGCTGCTTCTCCAGATGAGACAGCAAAGAAGCCAGTTCTCAAAAATTAATTTGCACTTTGGTCCCCATGTGCCTGCCTGGAAAGAGAAGAAAAAGCCTCACTCTTTCTCCCTTTCTTTGTTTCTCACTAGAGAATACAGGCAGAAGTTAGTAGTCTTGTAACTCTTATTTTCTTGGAAAACAGAGGAGAAAATCGATCTTAGATCCACTCAGGCCATGAACTAGGATTTAACCTCAGTTTTTTAAATCTTCAAAAGAATTTGTGTCATCTTAGGTGTCTGCTTCCTCCTGTGTCTCCAAGGGCTGTTGTATTCCAAAGAGTCACAAAAAGTAGTGTTTTATCACACAGGGATGGGCAAAACCCAGCCTAGAGAGCACTGTACCCAGCAAGCCTTGGCAGCTCTGTGCTCCCAGCCATTAGCATCTGCTGAAGACCTCAAAGTTGTGTTTTTGCTGGGTTATCTTGGGATGCTGGGCCATTTCCCTTCCTTTTTCCCCCATGGGGCTCTGCAGCCTTAGCCAGACTTGCAGGAAGCAGCGCTGCTTTGCTCTGCCATTGAATAGGTGATAGTTCTGTCAGACAATCCATGGCATAGGGGACATTGCCTGCTGCACAGATGTCCTACACCAAATCCTGGTGCTCTAGGATTGCTCCACATCAGGAGAGGAAACATGCTTGGGGCAAATGAACTTTTTTTCTGCAAGCGTCTGTCAAATTCTGGTTTTTTGTTAGTTAACCTTTTCTTGGGGTACCCTTGGTGACTCCTTGCTCCCTATTTTCTCCCTTTGTTGTTATTTGATCTGCTGTTCCACACACTGAGTCAGCTTGACCTAGGATTTCACTTTAGAGCTCTCTTGAATGTGCTGCTCAACTTAAAATGAGCTGAGGATCAGAGAATTTTTTCTGTTCAGCAGTGACAAAGAGCACAAATGATAAAAATGCTGATAATGTTATTTAAATCCCTTTGCAATTTTTAAAAGGTATTGGGTTGTTGCTTTTCTTTAGATGCTTTATCCCATTTCTAAAAAAACCTGCAGTGACTTTGGGGAGCTGTTTTTTTAGAGAACAAAAAAATTGGTATTTTTTAACATGGAATTCCTACACTTGGCCTTTGAACCACTTAGTCAGATGCAGACAGTGGAATCTGGCACCAAGGATAATCTTCTCCTGATATGGATATGGGGGGAATGGCAATGAGAGAGGAATGCAGTGATAGCTTAATATTTAACTATTTCAGGACTGATACAAACTATGGTGAAGCACAGAGGAATCTTTTCTAGTTATAAGTCTAAGAAATAGAACAAACTTCTCAATAAGATTGTGAATTTCTGCTACCATTGGGATCTGGATGATAAGCACTAAAAGTGTAAACTTAAAGCATAACACTAGATATCAGCATAGCAATAAGAACCCCCCTTATCTGTATTAAAAGACAGTTCAGCAGTTTTCCTTCTTAGCTCTTAGTGGAGCTGAAAAGATTGGACTTAGGAAATGTTTGTCATAACAGCTATTAAAAATGTAAAGACTGGATTAAAACTGGGTTCTTTCTTTTCTCCCTTTCAGTGACTGCAAAGTCCTTAGTGCTGTAAGTGCAGTTTTGTGATCCTTGAAGCTGTTAAAACAAGGGAAATAATAAAAGAAAAGAATAGAGGGCTTGTTATTCCTTGATATCATTAGAGTAGCATTATTTTACAACAGTATTGGATTTGTCTTCACTGCCCTGGCACCTTTTAAAATGTATTTGTCGTTATATTTAAGCATTTGCCTTAGGTGCTTTGTTCCTGTTGGTACTCTGGAGTTCAGTGATGAAATCTAGGAGCCTTACAAGTCTCACCCTCAATCAGTCTTCCAGCAAGTTCAGTCCCCAGATCTGATATGCAAGCTTCTGTACACTCCTTGTTTCAGCTGCGTTTCCCTGAAACCCACCTGGCACTCTGCACCTCCCGAATGGATGTTCGTACAAAAGCAGACAGGTCACTCTGCAGAAAACCTTCTGCAAAGATAAATACCAAGATGTTTGATTTAGGTAAAATTTACTGAGCCTTGGAACTGCCTGAGAAATGCAAGATTGGACTGCGGAGTGGTGGCATGCTGAGACTGTTGTGTCTCCCCTCAAATGTAAATAGTGCTGGAGAGGGTGGCACAGTCCATCAAAGCACTTCCTAAAATAACTTTTACTGCAGAATTTGAATCTATAGAGTTTTAAGAAATATATCCTGGACATTGTGGATGTCTGAACAAAAGGGTGAAATGTACCTCTCTGTTGCCTCTTTTTTTTTTGCCCAGCATATATCAATATCTTCTCTGGAGGAAAACAGGACTTATTCTTGTTTTCTCAGTCTGACTGACCTCTGGACTACCCTTACTTCTAGCTGTTTTCTAGTAGTTGTGGGTGAGATCTCATCAGTTGCAGGATATTTTTTGCAAGTGGGATTTAACAGCTTTCAGTTGTAACTATTCAGTCAAAAAACTTTGTCCTTTTTTGTTGTTGTTTTTAGTGAATGGGAAGCTTAGTCATGATTACTGTGTGGGGTGGAATTGTACTTACAGTGCTAAATCAGTTTTTTCTGTAAGCCAGAGAACTTCATTATTAATAGTAATAACAGTTACTAATAACATGAAATTGCACTCTATGTCTTGGTTTTGTAACACCAAAACAGCAATTTTTTGTTCATTGCAAACAAGCTGATATATACACATGTACTTTCTTATACTCCCAATCTCAGCAAGTAGCAAATAAATAAAAAAGCTGTATTGATTTCCCAAAGGTTAAAAAAGCCCAAAACAAATTGCTCTTATTTAATATTTAATAATCACAGTTATTTAATATTTCCCCCCAGATTTGTGCATCTAAGAAGAAGTTAGCTCATGAACTTTGAGAGTATGGTAGTGTGGGTGTATTGGCTCACTCAGAGCTTATAAAATTCTCCAAGTAAAAGAAGCCAAGTTTCTATTTAACAAGCTTTATCAAACCATTGAAGTTAAGTGAAAAGCACACTGATACGCTATATAAAGTACACAGAAAGGGCTTGGAAAACTTGCAGAAAATAATTGTGCCAAATACTTTCTCCCACGATCACCACTGAACATATTGGTTGTCGTGGCAAAAAGAAGTTTGCGTGTGGGTCATATTTAGAGTCCTTCATCTCTTATGGTAACCCTTGTTTCAAATTGAGTGCACGTTCCTGTAATTAGAGCACTGAAGTGACTCTGTTAAAGCACGACAACACATTATTCTAGAAGTTAGTAAAAAAAGTGTTTGGAAAGGACTCTCGGGGAGTTTTTGGAAAAAAACATTTTTGCAGAGCTTTAATTATTGGCAGATATGTCAGCTTCAATTTGGAGAATTCTTGTATGTGTGCACAGATGCAACTCAGGTTTATAGAAAACATCAGTGCATTAGAAGTGGTACTTGAAGAAGTAAACTGAAGTAGTTTACAAGATAAGTTCCTAGTATTTTTTGCAGTATTTTCCATAAACAAGGACTGTGACAGACTGGGAAGAGGGTGTGCAGGACATGTACCTTAAAACTGTGACCTCTGAGTATCCTTCAAAGCTTTGGGCATGGCAGAGAGTTTCCTTCATGCTCTTTGCCACAGTGTTCATTTAGAACCTCTTTCTGTGCTCATTTAGAACATGTGGTCTGAGCCTTTGGTGCCTGCTGTGCTGTGCTCAGCAGTTCTGAAGCTGGCTTGTTCTCCACAGCATAGAAAGCAAACAGTGCCTTCTTCCCTTGGCACAGTTTGAGGTGAGGAAAAGCAAGGTGGTGCTCCCTGGGTGTGCAGCATAGATGTGTTTGTTCACCTGCCCCACCTGCAAAATTCAGGTTGAACAGTGGATTTACGTGCCTGAATATAATATTTGTGCATAGATGTTCTGCAAGGCAATTATTGGCCTAGGTCATGTGGACTGTGCACATTTGTAAGGTTTCTTTCATGTTAAAGCTCAAGGTTTTTAATCACGTAAGCAAAACAGCCCAGGTGAAATGAAGCAGCAAAAATGCTATTTACAGTCAAGGTATCTTTAAAAATTAACAGTCCTCTAATATCCAAGTCAGCCTTGAGTCTGAAGCTGTTTTGAGCATTAATATCCTAGACTGCAAATAGACATAATCAAAAATCTCCAAAGGACTAAAAAGAAAACAAAAATAAAGGGAGACTTAGTGATTCAAACAATGACTATTATATTTAAGAGTTAATTGGTTAACTACAGATTTTGTGCTTTTTAACTGTTTTTGTTGTATAAAATTTTTATTCAAGACCTTTAGCCTAGAATAGTACTTTAAAAATACATTAGAGTTTGCTTATTTTGTCCTAATTTCAACTTTTTTTTTCTTTTCTGTCTTCTGGCTTTAGAGGAGTTCTTGTAGCAGTGCTATTTTCATGTTGACCTAGTGCAAAAGAAGTTCCTTCTTAACTTTGGATTTGATTTCTGAAAACAAGAGTCCTTTCAGTTATCTTAATTCTTCTTGTTCTCACTTGTTCTATAGAGACACTAATAGTTATTTTAGCACTGCAAATGGAAAACATGCCAAGTTTTTAATAGATAAGACGCTTACAAATACCTTAGGTGTCAGAGGTGCCTATAAAATCTGAGGACATGACTGAAACACATTACTACTGTTATGAATTATGCATTAGACCTGCCTCTAAAAGAGGAATTTTCCAAGACAGCTCTGTTCAGTGCAATCTGTTTATCTCTAGCTGACAGCTGTCCATCACTCAAGAAATCTGCTTGAAACTTACACAAACTGGCACAGCATCTTCAGAAACACGTGGGAGTCTTTGTAGCCACCTGACTTTGGCAGCCCTCACTCCCACAAAGAGCTCATAAATTTCAGTTGTCCTGGATGCTGCATGTGTAATAACCTCTGGGCCTCTTAATCACCAAGAGCTGTTCCTTCTCCTCCAGCTGGGAACAGCAGCTGAAGCACAGGCTGTGCTGGAAAGCAGAAAGTATAATTACAGTTGAATTCCAGCTTCCACTAGAGCTCCTCCTTCTCAACTCCCAGTACAACCCTGATAATTGTTTTGGGAGCTCTAATCCTTTGCAGATTGATGGATGTACCTTCAGCTGTATTTCAGAGGTTAAGTGCTCGTGGGGCCTCTTGCAAGTACTGCTGCCTCCTGTCGAGGTTCTCCTGGAAATGTCTGTAGAAGGGTTGTGTGAGCACTTTCATGTGGCTTTATTTTATTGAGAAACCACTGTCTCTGAAAATGCATTTGGAGAGGAATAGTGTGCTTCAAGGTTAAAGCCTTCCCCCCTGGTTGAAAAGGAGCTTTCATTCAAAGGGCCCTTAGGAGATTTGGAATCACCTTTTACAGTGCTTAGGTAAATGTTACAACACAAATCATAAATCATGTAGGCATAAAGTTTATGAGTCTTTGTGTTGAATATAATTAAATGTATTGCAATCTCCAGGAAAAGCACAATGCCCAGAGCTGCTCTGCTGGTTTTTGTTAGAGATAAATTAGTGACCTAATTCCTTATCTCATTCATTTTTTTTCTCACAGTTCCACGCCAGCCTGGAGTGAGCAATAATCTGTTTGAAATACTTGAAATTGAGCGAGGGATTACAGCTGATGAATTTGAAGCAAATGATGACCCAGGTAAAGACCATATCTCCTATTCAGGACCTAGGGTTTATGGTTTTTTGAAATTTCTTGGTGGTTTATAAATTTTTTAGGACTCCAACATCTTATGCTCCTCTTTTAAACTATGCTTTATAAACCATGTAAAACCAACCCTTTGCCTATATGAACCTTATACTTTTATTTCCTAAAAATTCAGCACAAAAATAGCATGAATTGTTAATAATACAAGGGTCCTTTTTATTGTTCTAGTATTTTTGCACATTCTTTTCCTAGGGCTCCTTCTTCTACATTTAATTTTTGTACTTACTTGCTAGTGTCAGCCACATGGGAAATTAAAAACCAAAACAATCAGAATAATTTCTGGGGTTTTTTTGTGACCTCCTGCTCTGTTCTGCCAGGTGTGCTGGTCCACAGCTGTGATTTTGACAGTGGACTGTGTGGATGGATGAAGGACAAAGATGATGACTTGCACTGGGAACCAGTGAGAGATGTATCAGGTAAGTGATCTGTGTACAATCACATCCTGCTCCCTTTAGTTCTGGGGTATATTTCACACCGATGCCTCTTCTGTGTATAAAAAGCAAAATTTAGGATTCCAAATGTGAAAGAGCAATTGAAAATTTATACTTTTATCATAGAATGAAGTCATCTTTAAAATAGGAATGTCTCTGAAGGAGTAGTAAATGTAGTCAGCAAATGTTTGTCTTAAAGGAATCTGAAAAAAATGTGGACAAGAGAACAACTTTTATTTACGGTGAAACAAAGGTTGTTTTTCAAACTACCACGTAAATATAATTATTTCCCTATCACTAGCAAAATTATAGAAGGTACTTTAAATAGTCTTTGTTTTGCTGCCAGATATAATGTTCTAGTTTAACCTCCCAGATTGCTGTAGCTTGGAGTAGAATTTGATAAAATCAACCTGTATGTAGGAAAAATGTTAAGTAACTGGAAGGCAGACAAATACTGAAACACAGAGGCTTCTGAAAAAGGGATATTTGGGATGATAGAAAGTGACATTACCCCAGACATTAGAGGGGGAGTGTGTAGGAGGACAGGAGACTGGCATCAGCGCTGGTGCTCAGCCACAGGAAGAGCCCTTCCCTGTCTCCCAGCTCTGCTGTCCCAGGAAGTGGATGTATTTTGTCCCCTGTTGATTTTGGTGTGGCACTGCGGGGTTGCTGCCCTTGCCTGCCTACCCTTCCCCCATCATTACAGGGATTAGACACACATCCCTGGCTCCCGTAATGATGGGATTACTCCATGCCCGGGGAGCACCTCTGAAGTGCACAAAGCTCACATGATGTAGGGCTGGCAGCAGCAGGAAACTCTGAGGCAGGACACTGCTGCAGGTTAAGATGAGGAAGGGGAAGGCACTGAGAGCCATTTTCCTCAGGCATCACCCTGTCAGAGCTGTCTGGCCACTGATGGGACAGTCATTTGCCACCGCAGCGGGTGACCTGGCACCTTTTCCAGGCTGTTGGGCTGGCTCAGTGGAAGTGCTGTCTTCACTGCCTGGGCAGGGGTCCCCCAAACAGGCTGCTCTGGTACTTCAGGAGCTCCTTGTGACACTTATAAAAAAACCAAAACGCATAATTCATACTTTTTTTGAAACAATGGATTTAAAAATCCATTTTTTCCAAAACGCATAATTCATACTTTTTTTGAAACAATGGATTTAAAAATCCATTTTTTCTAAGTCAGTCACTCAAAGCATATTCATTGCCTGTACTCAAAAATTGTTGTTGTTAATACATACTGAATTCCAGAACTGTGATTTTTAACTGACTCTTTTTTTGTCAGACTTTTTCTCTGCATTGATTTCCAGTAGTCAGAGACAAGCTCAGCTTTTATTTCCTGTGTATGTTCTGCTGCTGTTGACATAACCTGTTAAAACTAGTCCCTTGAAGTCACCCACCCACCCCCTCCAGTCTGGAATACCTTGTTGGAAGGATTTATTTTCACAGCTTGTTCCTGACTGCTTGCTTTCACCTTGCAAAGTTTGCTATGTGTTGGTTTATCAGAATCTGCATTTTGAAAGGTGCTGTGCTGAAGCATTATAAGCTTATCTTGCATGCAGAAAATGCTGATTTGAGGGGACCTTTTCCTGCAGGGGCTTGCCTACAGCTATGTTTGCTTTGTGCTTACCTAAATCTGTTTCCTATTGATTGGATTCAGCCACAGGAACTATCTGAAAACGATGCACTTAATAAGTCAGTACTTTCATAGTGGTATAATTGTATCTTCAGCAAACAGGTACAGTTATTTAAACTCTATTATGCTTGTTTTAGCAATTAGTGACCTTGCTGAAATAGCATTGCATTAAAAAAAAAAAGAAGAAAAAAGAAAAAATCCAACTCCCTGAGAAAATTCCCACCAAAAGACTTTAAGAGATCCTTGGACAAATGGATCCCACTTCATGGCTAAATGCTGATCTAGGGGCCCAGACAGCAGCATAATACTTTGCTTTGTTAAATCTCATTCAGACTAAAGGACTTTAAAAGTTATGTAGAAGTAGTAAATTGGAGACAAAGGTTGGCTTTCCTTTTAAGTGTGTGACAAGCCGTGGTACATTGTAATTAAATTTTACAGCCTTTCAAGGGAAAGCATTGTGACTTTCAAAGAGAAGCTTTCAAAAAATAATGCTCTGTTTGAGTAGTAGCAGGGACACTATAAAAAATATTTTTCTATCCTGTTTAACTGTGTATGTCAACAATATTACAAACCCCAATATTTCTAAATTTTTGGTTTTAAATAAGGAGCCTAAAAATGCCACTTTCTTAATGAATTTAAGGTAGACGAGGCATTTTTAGTTTAAAAAATATGTAAAATCTGATTGCATAAAGAAAAATATTCTTAGATTCAGTGTAAGATAAGATTTTTTTGAACCTTTTCCCTTTGGTAATTTTAGATTTTAAAGATTTCACCCGCCTTGCAAAAGTTTTAATGAAAAGTACAAACAACTCAGACAGGTCTGGCTTTTCTCCAAGATGTGAAATCTCATTTAGTTTAGTTCTGAGTGTCAGTGTGAAAGGTGCCTCTTTTCTTTCTAGGTTTAGTGGATACCTGAGATCCTTAGCTTCTCATGTTCTGAGTGTTTTCTGGAAGGCACCTTTACTTCATACATGATAAGAGACAATAACAGGGTTTTGAATTGAGTATGGATGTTCACTGACAACTTCCTGCTGTTAGAATTTGGGGTTAACAGCCATGTGGAAATCATTACTGCTTCTTGCTTTCTCTATCTAATCCAGATTAAGAGTTTAAATTACAGTTAAATAAAAGAGGCTATCAGGGTTGCAAATGGATGTGCTTTGAGATTTACCCTGTTAACACAGTTCCCAAACAAAAGGAAAGGGACAGAGCCATAGCTCAATTACATGATAGCATTTATTCTGGTCTCTGTTATCTATCCAACAGCAAAACATTGCAGCTTGAAAGGTGCATGAATTTGCACAGTGCTATAATGTTACTGTGGGTTTAAAGTCATTCAGTGACAAAGGGGTTGTCAGAAATGACAGAATACACGAGGTTTCAGTTTTGGAGAGGGAAGTAGTGTTTGCTTTGCTAAAAAGAAATTAGATGGGCAACACCCAGCCTGGTAGTAATGTATAGAGAAGAGCAGCACTGTCAGTCTTACTCTGTAGGAGGCAAATGTATTAGTTCTGGTTCTTTATGCCTCATTTTACACTTTCTGGACCTTGTTTTATCTTTATTTATTTTTAATAACTCTTGTCACCAAACAAACCCCAACTAACTGCTCTTTCCACTGCAGGGGGCCAGTACCTCACCATCTCCGATCCCAAAGGGAAAGAAGGAAGAGCAGCACATCTCATCCTGCCGTTGGGCCACGTGGCTCAGGCTGGAGATTTGTGCCTGTCCTTCAGGCATAAGGTGCCCGGGCTGCATTCGGGTGCCCTGCAGGTCTTTGTGAGGAGGAGTGGTGCTCATGGCCCAGCTGTCTGGGGGAGAAACGGTGGCCATGGCTGGAGACAAACACACCTCACCTTACCAGGGGCAGGCATCAAGAGTGTAAGTGCTGATGCTTGTGCTGCTGTTTGGGTTTTTGCACGAAAAAGCTGGGGATGCTTAAATGGTGCAGCGCTGCAGTGTTCATCTCATGAGCTCAGTTTCACTCTGTTTTACTGCTTTCATCTCTGCCACTGGAATCACAATACAGAGGAGAGTTATTATGCATTTTTAAAAATTAGTTTTATGCATACAAAAAAAGAAATCCCAGCTATAGAAATATACCTGTAGTATAGGCTGCTCTGTCATTTCCTGAGCTACCTGGTACAGCCCATTTTAAGGGAATCACCACCTAGGAAAGAACATACTCATGGACAGAGGCGTACTCTATAGAGAATTCAAAAAAATGCCTGTGTCAAGATTCCTTATGAGTAATGCTTTGAATAATACAGTACCATGAAATAGGAAGAATTATCCCCTTTGCTTTAGTAACTGGCTAAGCCAGGGCAAAGATACTGAAAAGTAGTAATTTTTGGTGATGCAGGGAGATCACATGTGCAATCACATATGGTTTTATGTCTTTAGCATGCCTGCAGCGGATCAGGCTGAGGAGGTGAATGACCTAACAATGCCCATAACACAAAATGGTTTAGTGCAACAAAAGAAGCTGCCTGAAGTGCCATGGAGAATCTTTTCATATCTGAAAAATTTAGAAACATTGTGTGATTAAACCAGTGTCAAAAGCTCAATGTTATTTTTCAACCTCTGAAGGTAGTTTTTATTTCAGATCTGAAAAAGTGGCTTGGGTATTTCAGGACCTGTTTTACTCTGACTTAAATATCTGGTGCTCTGAAAAGCTCACACATATAATGTTCATGATGGGAGCAGGCTATGAGACATACACAGTATCTAGCTCTAAAATGAATATGAAGGCTGTAATTACTGCAGATAATTTTCTAGAAAATTTACTTCAGCAACAATAGCAAAGACATCTGACTTTGTTAGCTGTGAGTGTTGGACTGAGAATGAGGACATTTGTAACAGGTGAACAATGTATCTGCTATATTCTTACCCTTTTTTCCCCCTAAATTTCTCACCTCTGGCAGTCCCCCTTTGCACTGTCCCTTGCCTCTCCTGACCCCCTGACAGTAGCTGCAGCATGGGCAGCCAGGGCTGCTGAACCACTGGGACACTTATCCAAAGATCAGATACTTACCTCTTAAGCAAGCAGGGAAGGCCTCTGCCAAAGAGAAATCAGGAAGAAATGTGGAAGTTTTCTTTTCTAGCTAATTAAAACCCAAAAGCAACTAAATGTTAGTGATTTTGGTGGGGCCTACTGGAAACCTGAGGAGAATTTGAATGAAGACTAGAATAATTCATCACACTTTTCTCTCTGTGTAATTTTTTTTTCATCCCCTGCTCAAATTGTTCTATTTCTCTTTCTAGGTTATTTTCAGAGGTGAGAAAGGGAAAGGAAGAACTGGGGATATTGGACTAGATGATGTGGTCTTGAGGAGAGGACGCTGCTCTGGAGAGCATTAGCCAAGACAGTGGACCAGCAGTCATCTCCTCTTGCCCTTCTCATGCAATTCCCACAAAACTTTGAAACAGAACTGCATGAAAAAGAAGAAAAAGTGGGAGAGCAGCAACTTCTTAGTTGTTTGCTAAGTGCAATCTCATGGAAATTTCACTTAAATACATGGAGAGCACCTCCCAGGATTGAGGAAATCCAATCTCAGGCTGGTTCTTTCTATTAATCCTTACCCCTAAATCATATATTGTATGTTATAACTTTGTTCCCTGTTAAGTCTGGTGAGTGCTCATGGAAAGAGCACTGGTGAAAAAGGGAGAATTACTTACCAATGGTAGCAAAAGAAACCTCCATCTCTAAGTTTGTGTTAACTGACAGCCATTGTCATCCCACAATGCTATCTTTCATTAATTAATTTGTGTGAGTCGCATTGGATTAATGAAAGTCTGGACCTGAGCTCTGGCTTACTGCCACTGACCATTGAAGAAAGGTTTTTCATATATGAAATAGCATTTATTTTGCTGTTGCATCTGTATTAACCAAAACCAGTTAGAGAGAGTAGGCATTGCATCCTGTAATATTGCTACTGCTGTGTTTTGTGTATATGTGTATGGTTAATATATTTATGTTTTTTAGTATTTACAGACTGTAGTTGCAGGGTAATTGGCAGCTGTACTCTGTTTTTGTACAAGACAGGAGTTCAGCATCTTCTTCAATACTGCTGGTCATGCCAAATTATCAAAGTCAGTTAATGGTGCTCATTGAAAACTGCTGGTGCAGTTTTTCATGTTGTAATGTCATGAAGGCAAAAGACCAAAGGCTCACCTGATGGAAACTGGCATCTGAAAATGCTCCACAAGTTTGCATCGAGCTCACAAGCAAGCCCTAAAGGGCTCTGAGCCCTGCAAGAAGCTCCTGGTTCAGCTGAAGCAGCCAGGAGAAGTTGAAGTTAGATCTTGTAAGGTTGAGCCCACTGACCCTGCCAGGAATGATCCCTTCCCACAGGTGGCACAAGGAACAAGGGCAGCTGTGTTAACACTGTACAAACCCTTCAGAAATGCCTCCAGTGCTCTTTGGCAAATGTCCATACTCTGCCCAAACTTCTGTATATAATAAGCATTTTATTCTTTAGAACAACTATTAGCTCTAGTGGGAACTGAGTATTTATCAAAACTTTGGACTAATTTTATAGTTATGTATCATGCATGTGCTGTGCAGTTTCCCAGGGAATTCTTCTGTTTGGTTTGAAATCTTTTAAGTGGGCATCATCATCACTGCTAGCCATTCTAAAATTGACAAAGTAATTGTAACATTTAAGAAAATGAGAAGAGATTGGTAAGATGTTGTTAGTGCAGCCTTAAGGATTCAAAAAATACATCTATAAGAAGTCGTCCTCAGTTCTTTTGAATACTTAATTCAGTGTAAAATAAATGTCAGCTGCATGGCATGTTCAGTCTTGTACCAAGTTCACAGACACAAATTTGAGGTCATATTCCAAATCCCTGTTCCTGACAAACTACAAGTCTGAAAATATTTTTTCCCATTCATCCCCTAGGACAAAACATGTTGTGTAGAGCAGAAATTCATGTGATCAAACAGAAAGTCTCCTGCAAAACTGTATCAGCAAGTATTTTCAAAAGGAAAAAAGAAATGTGTTTGTAAACATTAAATTTTAAACTATTTTGCTTTGAATATGATTATGATCTTTTTCTCTTATGTTATTTTGTGATATGTCAGAAATATCTGTGAATAGTTGAAATACCTTGTCCTTATTTTAAAGTAATCAGTAAAAGAGACTGTTACTTGCTACTAACTGGGAATCTTGTTTTCATTTCTAGATAGAAAGTTTCAATTTTCATTGCAGTGAAATGAAACAAAAGATGACAATCCCAGAGTGAAATAGCTCTTATTTACCAGTTTTAAAAATCAAAATACATTTCACAATAATATGAAGAGAGCACTATATTTATTATTCAGAAGGAAGAATGGCAATTTCAGTCTCACAGGTAATTTAAGAGCTTCTGCAATATTAGATGTCTGTTTTACAAGAAGGAGCAGCTACCATAATTCCTCACTCTTGATTCACCCAGCACAAACTGCTGTTAGATGCCAAGGAATACAGGATTAACACATTTTAGTCTGGTTTGTTGTATTACTACAGCTTTCTGAGATTAAGATTCCCTGGTTAAAATGGAAGCCCTGTCAGAGTTTTTTGCTGTTTTTACAAATGGTCCCTAGAACCCAGAATCTGGATTAATTGAGAAGGTAGCAATAAGTACTCAGGTGACAGGGGAGGATTCAGGTCTGTGTTTTATGGATGCGTTTCATTGCTACAATAAAACATGGACTTGTAAAGCCTTGTGACAGCTGCAGGACCAGACAGGAGTTCAGCAGTGGTTTTGAGTTCTGGGGGAGCTGCTGTGGCTGTAGGTCACTCACCTCCAAAGCTGGTGGTGCTGTGACTCTGTGTGCTGCCTTCTCTCCATGTTTGGGGTAGACAAGGTGAGGTCACTCAGAGGTTCTGTTGTGAGGATCCTTCTCCAGTTCTTGCTCTCCAGCAGCTCCCTCCAGCCATACATCTCAGCTAGGACTGCCCTTTCCATACAAGCCTCAAGAAAGGGATGAAAATATGGTCTGAGGTCCTCCTATGAAGTAGATTATAGTTTTGGATTTAGTAAACAGGTAACAGAAATTCCTGCTTAGATACTTAAGCAAGCAGTAGAAATTACACTAAATTAACACGAAAAAAAATTATCAAATTATTAACCTCTTGCCAGTTTATAACTGAATGTTCTTAAAAGATATGTTAACTCTTTTCCCCAAAGAGAATGAAAATAAGATTCTTTATAAATGACAGGTACTGGGACCAGCGGCAGCGTGCATTTATGAATTTGCTGACATCAAAATCAGCAGAATGGAAGGGACCAAGACAAGATTTTTTAGTTCTAGATTCCATTCTGTACAGATTCCATTCTCTCATCAGAGCCATGTCATTAAATCACCAGTGAGTGATTTAATGAAGCCAATTCATTCTGAATAAAAGCTTCCCTAGATTTCCTTCAAGTTACCTGAGACTTGGAGGTCAACATTGGTTTTACCATAGTTGGAGATTACAATAAGTGCCCTCATAAGACTCAGGCAGTCATAAGAAGATAACCCTAAACAGAGGAACATTTATGCCAGCAGCCTTCATCATCCTGCTCTGTTCTGCTGGAGAAAAGCTGCCACAGTAGCAGCTGCCTCCAACCCACGCACCACGGATCTCTCTATACACCCCATTAGAAGTTATTTCTTCTTACAAATGTAGCACAGTATTTATCAGAAAGATAGCTTGATCCAAAGTGTCTTGATTTTAGCAATGCATTTTTTGTAACACTCACCTTGAAAGCTGTTCAATCTGCCTTTATAAATTCACAACAAGAAACTAAAAGTGTTTAAAATTTTGATTGTGAAGGTTACACATACAGAGTTATTAATTAGTAAGAGAGGTCCAGTTAAATACTATGCAAATTTTTGCTTATATAGATCGATCTCTCAAACAGCAAATTATTGAAGTTTTTCTGGTGTTTAAAACACTTTCTTACCTGCTGTTTTATCCTGACATCCTGTAGTCACACAGCATTTTATGACTTCAGATTTTCCACATAAATTAAAAATGAAAAAAGTTTAACGTTGCATTGGTGTAAACCTGCAACTTTAGAAAGAAATGCAAAACATTTTAGTGGTGAGTTTCAGTAATGATTTGAAAGATCACTGCATTAACTTTCAAAGCTTGAGGAGATTCCTTTCTCAGACCCCACCTCCTGCATCAAGCAGACCTAGGGACACATGAGGAAATGCATTTGGAATGTCTGTAATGCTTCATTTGTTTAAAATGCCAACAGACCAAAGACCACCAGGGAGCATAAAGAAGTTTTCAACAATACAGACTGAACCACCTCTAGATTTCAGAAACCAGCCCCATCTAAATTTTCAGGATTGTAAGTCCAAAATGAATCAAATGACATTCTAGTAGCTCTGCTCTTACCAATTCTCATTGTGCACTTATGTGACCTCTTCCAAATCTGTATTCAGTTTTTGAGCAAGTAAGCCAAGATCCACCTGGCACACGGGATAAGGATGCTTCTCTCTGTGACACAGCCAAATCCTGCTTTCCTCTGACCATGAGTTACTACAGCACTTTCCCAGTCATTTTTTAAACTTAATACTTTGAATTTTTACCTTCTCTTCAGGCCAGGAATAGTCCTCTGTCACACTTTTCTCCCAGGTTTTAACTTGCTGTGCATTTCAGCAGCCCATGTTCTCGTTTCAGACTCATATATCCAATATACTCTTGATATATTCATTTTGAGTTTGCCAAACACCTGTAAAGACAAAGTATAGTGTGTACTCAGAGAATAATTTTGCTGCATTTGTGTCCAACACCAGTGCTAAAATTTGAGATTGACACTCTCAAGGAATTTCAGGAAGACACCATCACTGTTTTGATACCACAGTGCCCTAGCAGAAACAGGGGACCACATCACCTTTTCTCTTGCCTTTTGTGCTGCCCACATTTTAGGTAAAAAAAAATTATAGAAGTGGACTCAGCAGACTTTTTTCCTCTATCAGAATGGTTCAAGACAGAATTCCTTATGTACGAAGTAGGATTACTGTGGCACGCATACACTCCAGTACCAGCGTCTTTGAACTGCAAAGAACAGGAGAAAAGCCTTCCAAAGAAAATTGACTTTGATTCTCACACCCCTTATACTTGGGTTCAAGTATAGCACAAAGCAAGAGTGAACAGGAGAAAAGCCTTCCAAAGAAAATTGACTTTGATTCTCACACCCCTGGGTTCAAGTCTAGCACAAAGCAAGAGCTCCTCATTTGGGAGCTCATGCAATCCATGCCACCTCAGCTGGTGATGACACCACCAGAATCCTCAGCAAAAACCATCCTGACATCCAGCACAATATAAGTAGAGAGCTAAATGCAAATAAGAAGTGAGCAGTGCCCATTAACATTTTAAATTAGAAAAATAGGGCAAGAAATTTGATTAAGAGTATTCGGAGGGTTGTCCAAGAGAGACACTTTGATGTCCATCCCTGAAGTTCTGAGTTGGCTCAAAGAATGTTGGCATCTTACCTCAGTTTCCTGGATCAGTGGGAGGACCAAAGTTGTTGGAGCTCTTCAAAGTTTCCATGTTCCAATGCTGAGTGCTCCCTCTGAAATGTGCATGATTCTTGCTAATAGTCTAGGGGATACCTTTAGCCATCCATGAATACACAGGGTGTGAAGCCACTGGAATGCTCACTAGTAATGAAGTCCACAACTATATGTGCACATCAATTCACACAGGAACCAGGAACTCCTATTGCATAGTTAGAGAGTTCATTAAGCTGTGAGCAATTCAGTCACTCTCCTGCCATATGCCACTGGTTCTGTCCTGATTTTAAAGATATTACAGTTAGGTGAGCTCTATTACTGAAGGTTGTCTCTTTGAACTGAGTGATGTTTAATTACTTTCAAGGTATATCAGGCAGTTTTGTGGGGGGTGAGAAGACCGTGGCATTCTGGCAGCTCATCTGTGTATTAGCAAACAGCCCTGGCACACTCACTGTGAAATTCACTGTGAACTGCTCTGCCAGGTTTTTTGGAGTAATTTTCTTGCCAAATAAAGATATGTGATTGGCTTGAAGAAATACCACATTAATACAAAAAATAGGCAGAGAAAGGACATGGTGCCTCAAGGAATGCCTTCATCACCATGTGGCCTTTGATCAGATCACACTGGCAGTCAGAGAGCTAGGTGGGAATTGTAAGGATCCAGCTACAGCTTGGCCACAGAGCTCCAGCCCACAGCCTCTCACAAAGTTCTTCATAACACTGTTCTTTCACTCAGCCATCCCCTCCCAGGATACCACTTTGTCCAGAGAGTGTTCTTGGCATTGCAGCAAACACAGACGATGACTGTCCCTGTTCTTTCACTCAGCCATCCCCTCCCAGGATACCACTTTTTACAGAGTGTGCTTGGCACTGCAGCAAACACAGACGATGACTGTCCCCCTCTGTGGCTGCCTGGGACCAGGTGGGCCCTAATGTGTGGAACTCTCTTCATTTTCCTCTCAGGTTTTGTCAGAGATATCATCTAGGCTACTAAAAAAACACTGGGCAAATTCAAATTTTCATGTGCCCTAATGAAGGTAAGGAGCTTTTCCCTCACTGATATGGAAATTTGCTTCCTCCCTAAAGAGAGAGCCTCACCAGAGGAGACCCATTCCATACCAGCCTGTGCACTTGCTGCTCCAGCTGAAATCCCATGTTCTGCAAGTGAGTTCAAGTCTGCAGGTAACAAACCACACAAACTCCTCCAAATAAGAAAATACCCTGAGGATGCAGCAGACAGATTGGAACTGTGACACTTCAAGAAGGAGCTACGCTTTAAACTACAGGAGGCACAAATGGGGAATGCAAGAAATCCTGCAATTTGCACTCAGCAGTACACAACTGGACTCCATTTCTGGCCCTGAACTCAAAAAGACTTGTGAGTTTTCCAACAGCCAGTGTGCCTGGAGCAGCCTGGGAACACAGCATCTCCAAACCATGTGAGACTGCCAACAGCAACTACAAGGTAATCCTGCGGCATGCAAAATGTTATGTGAGGGGGATTTTCAAAACTTGCTATTAAAAATATCCTTGGAATGATGGCTCTGTCCTGACACTCAATACATACAACCCCTGCTTCATGTTTCAGTGGCAACAGCTCCCTTTGGGGAAGAGAAACCTCTTGCACTCATAAGGGAACTGCACAGAGCTGGCAGGCTTCTCCAGTGGTCTCAAGCCTTGCCCACCAGCCTTTCAATTGAGGGGGTCAGGCTGCTTGTGAGCTCCCTGAACACATTCAAGGGATGAGTAGAAATCTCCTCCGTGCAACTCTACACACCCTTTTTCCTTCTGCTGTAAGAAAGGTGAGTAAACTCACCCACATGACAGATAAGAGAAGTGAGAAAATGCTTATATGGAGCACTCAAAGTAGGTAAGTGCCATTCACTTGAACTCACAAATTCTCCCGCCACACTCTGTCCTCTTGACACTCAGCCACAGAGACTCAGGTCAGCCAGCCTAACTTGCAACAGTAGCTAGTTCAAAGCAGTAGCACAATTAAAGGTTTCTGTTATCCAGCATTATTGAAAGGGAGAAACTTTAACAGGTCTTTGACTTCCAGAAGCCTGGATCCTTTTCACTCATCCCTTTTTCACCACCAGAGTCAGGTGAGACATTAAAATGCTGCTCAAAGAAATGCATCTGACATTGTCTCCTGAAGGAACTGCTGAACAGGTAATCTCAGAGTCGAGAAACCCAAAACATATTACAAAGGAACTTGGGCAGCCATGAGACAAGCAAGTACATCAGACACTGATGAATTCACCATGGTCCCTGAGCTAGTTGTATGTGATTTATCTCAGCTTCTAGTTAATTTTTAACAGGCCCCTCTCCCTTGCCAAATTATTGGGAAACTCACTGCATGTTCTCCAGAAACTGACAGCAGTTCAAAGTGGATGCTGTAAATGGAGCTTTTACTCAAAGTAAGAAATATTGTTTAAAATCCTATTTCTCCTGTATCTGAAAATGAACAATCTCTTTTGCCCATGACAAAGAATTGAAATGCAACATCCCTCCCTTCCCTATCACATTCTACGGTGCACCAAGCTGGTTTTCTTCCTACCTAGATACAACATGGCATTCCTATCTCATGTGCAGACCACTGTAAGGGCTCCAGAGTAGATTCTTCAATTAAACAAAGCTACCAACATTTGAAGACTTTTAAACACTGCATTTGCACCAACACAAACCAGGACAGCGTGAGGACAAGACAAAAGGAAACCTCTTGCAGCCTCACATTTCAGAACACTACTACTTTGCTGCAGAGCTTCTGGTGTAGCCCACAGTAGCTATCAAAAGCTCTTCAACAGAGCAGCCAGCAATTGTGTAGACAATGCACTTGAACACTCAGCTGTAAAATGCCTCCTCAAGCTGCCTCCTCCAGTCCCAGTCTCTTGAACCCTTTGGGCTGGTGGAGAGGTTGTGCTGCTCGCTGCCAGCCCCCGCTGAGGCTCTGGCTCTCAGCAGGACCCAACCCTGCCATCTCTGTCCCAGCTTCAGTGGGCCTGGAGCCTCCAGGTGTGAGCAGATTCAAACCAAGTCTCTACAAACCAAAGTGGAAGAATTCCCATGTGCCTCTGAGCCCTCCCAGCTGGGCAGTCCATGAAGCACCTCCACCTTCATCCCATCAGCCTGTCCTGCCCCAGAGCCAGGGCAGCCCCAGGAGCTGGGGGTGCTGAGGGTACCCTGCAGTGCCAGCAGGTGAGTGGGCACTGCTGCTGCTTCCCACCACGACCAAGTGTTTGATCAAGCAGCCAGGGCTGTGAACTCGGAGCTGGAGTGTTTCTCATCTTGCCTGTGGTAAATGTGTGTGTGAGCTTGGAGCTGTATGTGCCCACCACAGAACATTGTGTGGGGGTACATCTCCCCACCTTCTGTATCTCACCCCCCCTACACTAACTTTTCCTCTTCCTCCTCCTCCTCACAAAGCCTTCAGAGTTTCTCCAAAAGCATTTTGCTCTCCAGTTTATTCCATCCCTCAACTTTTTTCTCTCCATCTTCCAGCTCTCTCTGCTGCTGTGGTCTCAAGCTGTTGATGAAAAACAGGCTATCAAAGCCCTTCTCCTCAGCTGCGTACTTTCAAGTTTAGGCCTCCCCATCTACAAGAAACATTCAAGTTAGGTATCAAGCACTGCACCTGGCAGCATTTTCCAGATCCTGCCCAAACAATAATAAAGTTTCTTTGCCTCAGGACTTGCTGAACCCAAACACTGTTTTCTCTGGCACGAGAGGCCAATTTACTTCTTGAGATAAATATTAAGCAAACAGGATTTTTTTGACTTTAGGAAAAAAGAAGCTAGAACATTTTCCTGCAGCCACAGTCACACCCCTTGTGCCTGTAATGCTGAGCTATTTTTAAAATTAATTCCTGTGGTATTTTCCTAATAGCCGTAAAGCAGCAGGGCATTCTCTAAAACACACTTGGCTATTATTACCCCTTCTGTGCCTTCTGACTATGACCTTCCAAATTGAGATAGATTAGCCAGCTGTCAAAAGAAAAAAAAATTATTCCCTTTGCAGCCTTTCCTCTATTGCTTATTTTCCGCAGGCAGCAGCTCAGATCTGGCAGGAAACCAACTTAGTTCTTGCCCTAAGACTCCATCACATTTTCAAAAAGTCCATGTCCTGAATGTTGCAACTTGGGCTTTCTGCGTACTAAAAAAAGAAAATAAAAACTTGTATCTTTTGCCAGTGTTTCAACAAAAAAAACCAGTGAACCAAACCCAAGAGAAGAACTGTAGCCCATCCAGGTAATAACACTCTCAATACCCTAAAAAAGTAAGATTATTTTAAATTGACTAAGGGCTACCAATATCAGCCATTTAGCAATCATGTCAACAATCATACTGTTTTCTTCATCCAGGAGATGACAGGTAAAATGAGTTTGTGACCTAGCTAGTAATTTTTAAAAAAGCACAGAATCCTCAGCAAATGATGATACAAACCCATATCAGCATGAGGAGCTCTCATTAAAATAGCAGGCAGAGACACAGAGCACTTAGCTGTTCTCTCTCCTCTGTATTTGTTCTCTAGTATAAAATGCAGAACATTTTTTCTAAGTCTATGTAAATATAAACAAAGATTAAAATTAGGACAAATATCTCTTTTTCCTGATTTCATCGTCTGAACCCTCAATTAAACTCCTCAGTAAGCATCCATTTTCTATTCATACCCACAATTTATTTCTGCCTGCCCATGGTCCATGCTGGGGGAGAGCACTCCCAAGCAATCAACCTTTCAGTCCCAGCTCCTGACCCCATTTTTTTTTCCCATCCTTTTACATGTTCCAGCCTTCTGGCCACCTCCTAATGCTGAAATCAGCTTTTTGCTGCCTGAGGCAAGAGAAAAGGCAGCACAACATGCCCTTATGAAGAAGGGATTGCCTCTTGCCATGTTCTCTACCTGCCAGAGCAAGTCTGCAGCCATGTGTCACCCTTGCTGCTGCCCTCAGCAATGCTTGTGAGGCCACAAGACGTGGCAGGCTCTGGGGCAGCCCCTCATGGCTCTGGTTTGCATCTTGTCACACTCCCCTTACTACTGCCAGCACACCCTTAGACAAAAGCCTCTTTTTAATCAAAACCCAACTTACAGACACACAGTGACTCCCACAACCAGTAATGGCAGATCTTGAAATTCAGAATTTTTCCTTTGCACGTTAATGCTCTTTTCCCTCTACTCAGTGTCCCCACCTCTGTCCTAGGGAGGTGATGAGCACAAGACACTGTGAGATACCTGCAGGTCAGAGCTTCACCCGTCAGTACAGCCCACCCATGTCACCTCCCTCCTGGAGCTCACACTGCAGAGACAGCACAACTAAAGCTGGGTGTTGCTGCTGCTCTAGGAAAGCACAGTCACAGCAACTCAGCTGGCAGCAAATCAGTAACGAAGGTTTCAGTTCAAACCATGCTGTTTGGTCACCAGCTGATATTCTGGCCCATGAATTCCAGTATCATTAATTTAGTCAGAAATTATGTTAAATTCTCATGTATGTCAGAATCACAAAATTTACTTTGTTTCTTCCATGTCAAAGTTAAGGGGAAAAAAGGGTGGTGGGTTCCAGAGCTCCCTAAAGCCAAATGTTAATAATTACTGGATGAGAAAACAACAAGCAAAAGGTTATCAACAACTTCTACCTAGAAAACAACAAACAAAAGGTTATCAACAATTTTTACCCAATTTAAGAAGGCAAACAGGAAAAAATACTTCGATGAAAAAGAGCCAAATTCAATGGAAAAAAAAGTAATAATTTTTTCCTTCCAGTCACTATTTCTTGCAATAAATCCAGGATTTGTCTACATTTCTAGGCTCTTTATTTGTTCTCAATGACATTGGAAATTAAACAATAAAATAAAAACAACTTTCAACCTCCCCTGAAGAAGCTACAGTGAAGTGCAACAGCTAACAAATTGAACATGCCTCTAGCAGGCAGTCAATTCCAATACCACATATTTGTTTATATAGGGAGAACAAGGCATATATTTTATGAGTATATATACGAAAAAATATATACCTATTTATGCATCAGGTAACACATGTAAGAAGGGTCACTTGAGAAGTATTGCCAAGGCTGGTCAGTGCTGGAAAGAAGGACCTCCCAAACCTCTCCCTAGGAGTTTCTAGGGCAGCAGGCACTACCTAAGGAAAGACCTCCCTTAGTGCCAGGTTATCCCCATTTCACAGGTGCAAATCCTCAGCAGTTTGTCAGGCTCTGCTTGTTATAACAAAAGCTTTCAGTCTCCTGACATTTAAAAAGGGTTCAGTGAAACATAACATGAGCTAGTTAAAAACACCATGTGGAGTGCGTACACACACCCACCGTGCTCTAAGCCAAAAATCACAGAAAGCAAAGTTTGCATGGCCTTAACAGCACATCCTACCTATCCTCTCTCTCCTGCAGAGCTCCTCCAAAACAGTATCTGCCCTGTGCCTTGCCTGGTGTGCTTTGAAAGCCCCAGTGATCCCCTCTTCTGTGCCTGGTACCACGGGGCAGAGCTGGCACCTGCAGGTACCTGATGTAAACAGAGGATGGAGGGATCACGCTGCAGTACTTTCCCTGACCTTCAGCCAGAAGGTTTGTTTTACCTAATTTGAAGCTCCTCCTCTTGGAAACTACCCAAAATGTCTTTGTTCAGTTCAGGTTGTGCCTTAATCACATGGCCAAACTTGAGTCCTGAGTCTCCTTTGATCTCTCGTGGTTAGTCAAACTTCTCACTCACTTTGCCACTGTTGATGCTGCTCTCACATGCAGGGACTGCTACAAAGAGAAGGAAAAATTATCAAGAAATAAATGATAAACAACATCCACATCATGGTAAACCACCACAATCAGTGCTCTGTCTCTTTGCTGGGAAAATTCTACATGTCTCAGATTTCCATTACACAATGACATTTTATATTAAAAAAATTGAAAAAAAAAAGAAAAAAAAAGAACTAAATTGTATCACTGACCCTACTGTATAAAAGAACAGAAGCTTACAGACTGTGCAATGAGTAGCCAGGCAACCAGGCTTCCTGCATGACAGCTCTGGGATATTTTGATACCGTGCCAGAGGCTGACAGCAGCCCTAGCAATGACTGCCTCCTAGCAATGCCTCCAGGCTGCTCTTCTCCCATGCAATTCATCGCTGTTGGCACCAGCATGCTCTGAATGCCAAGTGTCCAGCTGTGGGTCAGGGTGCATTTCACACTGCCTTTGTGCTGATGCAAAAGTGATGCCACAAAGTGGCAGGAGGGAAGGCGTTGGGTTCTCAGGCTAGAAAACAACTAAAGAATTGATGGACAAAATCCTGTGCCACTCTGAGAGAAAGATTGCTTTTGGAAAGTCAGTAGTGCCCAAACAGGTGATGCCACAAAAATTAATAATTTTATACTGTGCCATTGTGATCCATGAGAGACCATACACTAGATGCCATATAAACAAGGAGTTTTTTTTTCAGGAGAATCCCACCTATTATTCTATTTTCTTTAACAGACAAAAGCCCCAAAATAGTCTTCTCATCTCGTCTCTTCCTTAGGGTATTTTTTGTGTGAAAAGATTATTAAAAAAAAACCAAAAAAACTTGGCTCTTGCAATACTGTCCTGACTGGTACAGTGCCATCATCCAAAGGAAACCTCACTCAGATGAATTCAGCATAGCCTGCTAACAGCACCTGAAGCTCTTTTTGTTTAGCATTATAAAATTGTTTTTCTCCTGAGTGTAAGAGTTTCACTTTAGGCCCTGCCAAGGTCAATATGCAAGATAAATACTCTCCCCCCTCGCAGCCTAGTGGGAGGTCTCTTAAGCACCTCAGGATTGCCATTTAATATGTGGGGAAACATGACATCCAACATTCACATGCTAAATTATGTCAGATTTCAGAATGCAAGCAAGATTTTTCTTCAGCTACTCTCTCTGATACAGAAAAGAAGGGATCCTCTGTACATCTGAGATACTTTGACTCACAGCAGTAGACAAAAGAAATTGATATTTCTTACAGGAATTACTGCGAGCAAAGGTTTAGCTGAACAAGAGCTGTCACACCAACTTCTTCCATGAAAACTTAAGTGCCTGGAACTGAGGAGAAGGGGGATTGGGGAAGTTAAGAGAAACACCATCAGTTACTCACCCCCAAAACAGAAAGAGATTAATTTTAAGAATTCTCTCCCCCTGAATATCTTCCTTAAAAATCACTTTTTCCCCTTTAAAAATTGATATATCTTTATTATCAATATTTTCAATACTTATTGTTGTTATCATTTTGCCAGTGAAGGTCTGGACCACATTGAATTATCTTTTCTCCAAAGGAACCCATAAGTTTTCACAGTTTTCTTAGTGTTTGACCTGGAATGAACATGTGGCCTGACAAAGTGCAATGATGTTCTCTGAAATGTAACTACCATACATTTCACTTGGCAAAAAGATGTGTATAATTTAGAGGTCTACATATTCCTCAAAACATCTTGGTTATCCAATTAAGTTCATAATGAAAGAGGAGTCATTCATAGGAATAATCTGTTAACCCAAAGCAGGAACTTTACACCAGCACATGCATGAAAAGATGATGTGAGTTTTTCTTTGTTGGACTCTACCTGTACAGTTTGTGTCAATCTGCAGCATTTCACTGTCAGTAGAGCTATTGCTGTCTGCACTACCAAGCTAGAACAGACTAATTAAATCTAGTTAACTCTGAGTCCTGACCCCAATGTGTCCAACAAACCTCCAGACAGTTTAGGAAAAAACTTGCCCTTTTTGATTTTCAGTAACAGTATGAGCTATTGAAACTTGTCAGAGATGCTGACATCTAAATATGCTTCACTATATTTCCTGAATGCATTATGCCTGCAATTTTCCTCCTCTGAATAACACAACTCATCTGTGTCAAAATAAATTTATCACCTGTTAATTTCCATTCTTCTGCTCAAAGATTTATTCCACACCTCCAGCAGACAAGGGCAGTGCAATGGCAGGGCATCAGGCTGTTAACTCAACATCACAGAGGAGGTTACAGCATTTCCCCCTCCCTTGAGTATGTACACTTGGCAGTCTTTTGAAGAGATTTCTGGCAAAAGATAAACCAGACACATTTTTTCAGTTTTAAGAGAGCTCTTCCCTGAGTTCATAGAGCTGGTGTCCACTTTTGACTCTTTCAGTTTAAAGAGAGATGCAGTTTTTCCTGCTCTGCTGTAATTGATGAAGGCTATTTCCTTAAAAATATTTCATGGGGAAGTAAAAAACATTTAATGGGGAAGTTATATCCTACACAGAAAACATTTCATAAATTACGAAAAGTTGCCAGTTTTGACAATTCGTTTTTCAAGAGAAAACAACAGCCCAGAAAACAACAAACATGGAAACAAGTACATTTTAAAGAAGCAGGAGGCAATTCTTAAATGAAACTGAAACCATGAATCTGACACAGCAGTGACACAGCTGGATAGAGCTCCACTTCTCGACCACCCATGTCAAAGATTAAAAAATAAAACAAGTACAGGTATTTTCTAGTGTGGAGTAACTCAATCTCTGACAGAAAAGCTCTCCATTTGATTAAACCACTATATCCTGTCTTTCAGTCAAATTGAACTCAGTTTTGCTTTTGCATAATTCTACTCTACACTGCCTCCTTGCTAAAAGCAGAGTGGGTGTATTTTCCATAAGTAAGTAGCAAAAGTGCAAAGGAAATGTATTTATCATCATGCTCCCACCCTAATGCCCAGCTGAAGCTGAGCAAATCAGTTGTTTTCTTTTTTGGAAAATCATGTGGCCAGAACCAGCTCTCTCCCACCCACACCTCATTTGACACTGACGCCCCTCGTCAGCGGCAGCACGGCTGCTCCCTGAGACAGCGCTGCAGTCGCTCATTAGGACAACGTTAATTTAATTAAGAATGTTTTTAACACAGACAAAGGCGATTTAAAAGCCTGTCAGTCGTTGCATGCGGTTTCCCAGCTTCTCTCCTTTGAATATATGAGCTCATCACAAAGCTGCCACTGATACACCCTGCGGGCCATCAGTCCCCTTTATGGCACACAGTGAACAACACCCTCTCTACCTCATACATTTACTCAGCTCAGTGGCACAGTCTCATCCCCCAAACTGCTTTAGAAAGGTTGTTGCTTTTTGAAATTGCCTTACAATGTTCTCAGATTACAAAAAAACCCTGTCCAACAGACTTCAGACATGGTTCTTTTTAAAAATACACCTACAGGATTCCTTCTGCAGCATGAAAAGGGAAGAGGGTTAACACCTTGGATACCTAGTGAACACAAGTAAAATCTTCCTCCCATAAATTCAGGTTAACAGCAGATAGCACTGCTACTTACAGAGCTATACTTTGTCTACAGCTTTCATCCCTGAGCCTTGAGGGAAGGTGCTCCAGGGGGACCCCTGTTCTGGAGGATACCTGTTTGCAGAATTGCACGTGGACACCTGAGAGATGAAACAGCCCCTGAGTCAGCCAGGATAAACACCACACTAAAGCCAGCAATCTGCAACATTAAACATTCCTCTTTAATGCCCAGTCTGGTAAAATTTCACACACAACTCTGGCAAAATTGTGCTGTCAAATGCCAGATTATCATATCATCCCACTGATTTGCACTGGGATACACTCTCTGAAACGCATCCAGGAAATGCCATGAAAGCATGCACCTCGAAATGGCAAAAATAATAACCGCAGAAAACAAAAAGAGAGGTAACAATAGGAGAATTCATTGCAAGAACAGCAGCATATCAAAGCAATGACAGAAAATCAAGCCCTAACAGCACAGAGAAGACATGCAGAACAAACATGACTTCTATCACTGTGTTAAGGATCTGGAAAGACAACAAATCAAACACTGGAGCACAAAATCAAGTTTCCTCCTGCACTTCAATATGGAAGCTTCTGGCCAAAACAATGTTATTTACGATAAGCTTCAGTATTGCCTTAGTATTTATCCAGGGGCAGAACAGATTCAAAGTTTTCTTCCTAAAAGTGATTGTTTCTTACTCACCAAGAATCCTAATAAAAGACACAGGGTATGAGACACATCCAGCAAATACCCAGCCTGGATTGCTTCATTTTACTTTCTTCTTCTGTGTCCAAATCTACATTACTGCTCTTGACCAATGCTTTTAACAAGAAGAGTGCCCAGCTTGGTCCCCAGATAAAAAT